TTTCTTATTAAAATTTCTTACCATTTTTATGGAACTTGGCTTAATACTTTGTTATATGAACCAAAAAAAAAAAAAAAGTGGTTTTGGAGGTCTGAAAGCAATTGAATTTTCTCTAGATTATATCTAAAACAAAACCTTACAAATCAGATGAGAATTTCTGCTTTGTGAGCGAGAGCATACGTATCCAGAAATGTCGTTCTTCAATGGGCATTGAGTTCCGCTGTGTGGCATCTGGCATATATTAGCCAATAAGCACAAAGCAAGCTCAAGGCTGTTATTTGGATGTAGTTATTTTGTTCATCTTGTTCTGAGTTGTGTGAGTACACGTGCCTTCAGGAAATAGTTTTAGAAATTATCTTTTTTTGTTATGTCTGCGAGAAAGGTGAACTACTCCTGTACGTGTACACAGTTGACTTGCCTTCCATTATTTCCTCAAGGAAATGTAATAAATTTGCGATGTGTACCATCTGTCATTGCAATTTTTCGATTTTGCATGGTGGAAGGGCGGATGTTCTCAATCATGTCTGTACACAAAAACACAAGGACGTGAGTTGTTTTGAAAAAAACGAAAAATTATTTTTCTTTGGAAACAAAGGACCAAAAAGTTATTAATGCATAATGTCTGTTCTCTGCCTTTTTACTGGAGCACAACCTGCCACTGAATGCATAGGATCTCGCTGCAGCTTTATTTAGAAAAATGTTTCCCTATAGAGAAATCACTAAGAAATACTCAATTACAAGGACCAAAACAGGTGCAATTGTTAAAGAAATGGGTTTGAAAGTAAATCTTCAGTTATTGATTGCATTAAAACAGCTCCGTTCTGCCTCTCTATGGATGGAAGCAATAATACCAATTCAAAACTGTATCGAATTGTTGTTTCTTTTTTTTTTTTAATTCAGAGTCTTCAGAAATTGAGTGAAGTTTACTTTCTGTCCCCACTTTAGAAGGATATTCGACAGCTTTAATATAGCACAGCTAATTATTAAAATTTTTTAAAAAAATGCAGTCCCTCTGGATAATTTACTTAGCACTTGGTGCCGATAATGCACAAGTAATGGTAGGCTTGAAGACTGTTGTTGTAGGCATCTTAAGAACAGAAAATTCAGATTTGCAGATTATGAGGTGCACCTGTCACCTCTTAAATTTAGCAGCTGAAAAAGGGCAGCTTCTTTACCAATAAATGTGGATGAACACATTGTTGATATTTATTACTATCTTGAAAGGAGTTCTAAAAGGAAGGAAAAATTGAAACAGTTCCAACAGCTGCATAATACTGAAATGAGAAAAATTTTGAAATATGTGTGTACACGCTGGCTGTCTTTAAAGAAATGTTTATCTAGAATCCTCGATCAATGGAACCTTTTTGCTATTTTTAAAGAAGAAGTAAATACTTCAAGAGTTAAGATAAAAGGCACTATTGAAAGTTATAAAATACCTAAAGTAAGTGGAGGTGTAGTTACTACTTGTTAAAAATAGGTTTGAGAAAAATAATTTCTGCACCATTCAGCAATTCAACTGGCAGTTCTCAAAATAATACTGCAAAATATAAGCATAAATTGATACAAATTTCTCTCAAAATAAAAAAAAATTGCTCAAGACATGAAACATTTTCTGATTACTGTAAGTTTAGCTAAGCACGAACACGAATCTGCCACTCTTCATAACATTCTGAATACGAATACAAAATCTGCAACTGCTCATAAGATTTGTACAAAAACTGATTAAAGTGTCTTTTTTCTTGGGTTTTGTTTTCTTAAATGATGCAAGTAATAAAAATGTTTTTTATGTGTAAGGTATTGTGTTGGTTGCATTCAAGAATTAGTAACTATTTAAAGTTAATTCATAATTAAAAACTATATTTTTATCATTTTGTGAAAAATCTCCTGATTTGTTACCATTGTGCAGTTACAGAACTTTCTTTTTGTCTTTTTATTATTATTGTTTTATGTGTTAACTTTATTAAATATGTTAACACACAAAACAATAATAATAAATAAATTATACTCTTACACTGCATCAAATTCAATTCAGCAAAATCATAAAATATTTAAAAACAGCATATCTTTAGAATTTCTGATAGATGGTCTCACTCATAGGAGATAAAATGTTGCCACTGCTCACTTTTAAATCATTGAGTTTGTTAATAAAAAATTCATTAAATTTTTACAAAGTAAGAAATAAATAATAAAAAGTATAATGCCATTCTATGAAAATATTGAATATTTTTTATTAGGTAGATAATGAATTAAATGCATTTTTATTATTTAAATCAATTCAATTCAAAAGTAAAAAATGAAAATGAAAGAACTGCATCCTATTGCTTTCAGAAAGCTTAATTTGATAACCCCTATTATAAAGATTCAATTTGAAAGATAAATATCTTACATTTTGTAGAATGGCAACAGATCCTAATCAAAATCAAAATGGCAGATTTATAGTGATTTGACACAAAATTAAATTTCGTGATTAACCCTGCAGTGGTCGCGTGCCATATTGTTACGATAAAGGTCGCGCGCCGTCTAAAAGACGCCAGGTATATTTTTGCTGTACTAATATATATTTAGGTTATTCAACTCAAATTTATGAATGAAAAAGGATTATTGAAATAACATACATATATTTGTGGTATCCTATTACAAAATCAAATAACAAAACTTCAGTTTACAGTAAGACATAATTTTATTCAACTTAACTCAAATACAAATTAAAAATACAAGTGAAACTGTCTCATTTAGTTAGTTGCACAAAGTAGCAATCAACGCATATTTGCTGAGTGTTTTCTAAACATAAAAATGTTTACAACTGCGGTATTTATACTTGGTGTACGTGTTCTTGGAGCGGCCACATTCATGACATCTCTGCCTTTTAGTAGTTCAAGCCTCTACTGTAAGTTGAACTGTATCCTCATCTAGGAAAATGCTCTGAATATCCTGCTTGAGGTTTTTAGGTAATGATGAACATTGAGGAACTTCTACGCAAGGAATCATAAGCTACCCAAAAGTTTTAAAAACTCACTGCGCCTGGTGCTGATTGATAAGTTATTTGCATAATATATTATTTGAGCATTTATAACTGCTACATTCATCATAGTGTAAATTCATCATAGTATAAAATATGACCATAGAACATCTGTTCCTTTACCTGGCGATATTGTAAGTGCTACATAACTGGTCAACAGTATCAACTCCTGATTTAGTTGCGTTATAAATGGTTATCATCTATGGCTTGTTTTTCTTCACATGATTCATCAATTACATCATCATGAACATAGTGGAAAGAATCAGAACCACTTTGTTTTCCTTAGTTACGTAAGACATTAATGTGATTCTGAAACCCAAACAATGATGTTCCTACTTTCAGATTGTTTGTATGTGTAAACTCTGGAGGAATTTCACTCTTACATTTTTCATAGTCCCAACCAAAGTAATATTATTTTGAAGCAAAAAATCGCTATTGTCGAAACTCAAACAATATGAAAGGAACCTAAATCGTTTTTCAGACATTATTACCTGGCATAACTCAATACCCATTTTGTCAGAGGACCATATCTACGTGGTATTTGCATGATTGTCCTTTCTAGAAGCACAAATGTGTAATACGTCTAGAAGCGCTTTTATTTCAATTATGTCAGTCAAATGGGCATCCCTTTCCCGAGAATAATTTTCCTGTCCTGTGGACATCTTTTCATTTGTGAACTTAACTATATTAGATAGCATACCATTGTCGAAAAATCATGCCCAACATTGCTCCGGCTTTCGAGCATTTTTTGCGACACATTTCACCCTTGGCAAATGTGTGGTAATGTTAAGTCGCCGAGTTTGTATATTTTTTATTTTTAGGTGGGCAAACTTTTGATAATTTTGATGATTTATTCCGGCCTAGGAAATAATTATCGGCAATATAATCATCATTATTGCTATCATTGGAGTCTTTCTTGTTCGGTGTCTGTTTTCTTCTCTTGTTTAAAATTTTTTTCTGCATCACTATAATCATCAAACTCATCATCTGATTCATATTCTTCCATCAGCATACGTAGTACTATTTTTCTGTCACGTTCATATGCCATACTGAATTTTTTCTGAGAAGTCATCCTGACTCTAAAGGTAAGAAATAAATAATAAAAACAAATGTTACCCGTAAAAATTATAAATAACAAAAGAAATACATTCTTTTTACATTTAAAATTAAATGTATTCACAAACAATTTCTTTCACTTATCACTAAATTTAAAAAAAAAACACTACTAGGGACAGCTGTTGATAATATAAATTAAAAATACTAGAATACATAAATTTTAAAATACTTACTTTTAGAATCAAAAACGGTCGCGTGGCGTCTTCTAGACTCCATCAGTGCTCATCGGCTTATAACTTCTTCCTCTCGGCACTAAAGAAAATAGCGTTGTTTCGATGATTTCTACTTATTTGTGTATAGTTGACAGAAAGGTAGACAGCAGCATAAGCTTGCTCGCACATCCGTTTTTAAAGCAATTAAAAAAGAAACATCCCTGGTGTCTGTTGGACCCCCCGCAAGCAGTGCAGGGTTAATAGTCCCTTCTGGGCTCATATACAAAGAATTGTTTAAAGTTATTAATTGTTAATTTGTTTCTATTTTGTTTAAAGTTTTGAATTTAACATCCATTTAATTATAGTCAGAAATTCAGAAACATTTGTATTGTGTTCTAATAACAGAACTTATGGGAAATCTATAAGCTAGATCTGTAACTGTGGAAAGAGAATTTTAGTCCAATATTTGGAAAGAATTTTTTTTAAATATATGAATGAAATGAATTTGTTAAAAAATTTTTTTTAGCTAATGCTTCTACATTCCCCCTTTTTAAAGTTTACTTATTTCATAGACTAATAATTGTTTTTGCTGTATGCAAATTTGGTGTATTTAATAATATTTTGTTTGTTTATTATTTTTTGTACAGAATTAAAAATTTTTGTGCTTAATGTGTCTTTCTTGAATATTGTTCCTTTCCCCCCTTTTTTTATAGGGAAAGATATTGCAAATCCTCATGGCTGACACCAATCCCACAAGAATATAAATTATCAAATGACGATATTACAGAATTTGTTAAAAGTATTGTTCCAGCTGCTCTACTTTCCATGTTTAGCAAACGTGGGTGTTTAGATTCAGCTATAGCCCTTCAGAATTTAGGTGCTTTGCGTCCAGAAATTGTTATTCCTCCTTTATTGGAAAGGTATGCATAAGTTTCATTTTATGTACGTGTCTTATTAATTAATATTTAAAATTCTGAATTTAAAATGCAAAGAAATAATTAAATATAGTAAAAGCGATAATTTTATCAGACAGTATTTTAGAAACTGAAATATATTTAAATGTGTGTAAATTAAAAAATCTGACTCAGAATTTTTTGTTTGTTTTTCTGACTAACAGCTGTATATTATTGTGCGCATGCGTGCGGGTTCGTTATGAATTGAACGCACAAGTCCAATGAAAAAATGAGCAAAATTTATTATTATCACAACAAATAAAAAAAATGCCTAAATTTCCTCAGATATTCATACAGAATTACAATATCTCACAGTAGTTATCCTTTAACTACTCAAACGTTCAACAGAACTTAATTCATAACAGCTAAAGAAAGCTAATCCGTGAATTTGCTACAGTCAACAAGAGCAGTTCTCTAAACAAACTCTTAAAAACAATAACCAATTAACTAACAAATTGAGAGGTTGTCATGCCGCTTATATAAGCTTTTTAAATGTGTGTGAATTTTCTGGTATTTTCAAAATCAAAAAGAGATATGTATTTATTAAATATTAAATGTACATATTCTTGTATTTTTAATTTTCCGGCTTAGCTTTTTTTTAATATCCACCCCGTGCTGTGAGCACGGGGAATAAAACAGTTTTATTTACAATTCTAGGAACATTAGCTATTTAAATACCAAATCCATAACACTGCCCCCTTCCCATGGACTGCACGTCCTGGGCAGTACAATCCCTGGACAGGAAGCCAAACTTACAACTATGGCAGAAATGCAATAATAAACATTACATTACAATAACAAACAACATGAACAATAAATGCAATAACTAACTTAAACAAATCAAATGTTATCAAATACTAAATGCAAATCAAATCAAATACACATTTAGAAACAAAAAAGACCATGGTCTTGCACTATTTATAATTATTTACACTACGTACTATGGCCATAGTAATGAGCTAACCTGTCGTAATGAACGACTTTAAGTTTAGAGTTCGAAAACTTAACGGATTCAACTTACGGGTAGCTATTTGAATACCAAATCTGTAAGAATATTTTTGCATAACAAAGATTATTAGTAGCAGATTGGTTAGCAATAAGGCATTAAAGCTTAAAGCATTTTATTGCCATTATATGATTATATGTATTAATCACAGATCTGGTAGTGATAAGTAATATAGTTTGAGGTACCGTATAAGTCCACCAGCCTTATTTTTAGATCATGATCTTCAGTATTTTGCTTGCAGAAGTTTCCATTTTCCCATATTGCTTTACTGTAAAATATTTTGTTTATTTGTATTTTATTTGTAAAATACCGGGCACTCGCTGAGCATAAAATAAAAATTTTAAGACTAAAAATCCAACTTCTATTACAGTCGAAAAAATAAAAAATTGCCTTTAGAAAAAATAGGAGAGGTTATTTTTGGAGAATTCACCAGCTAAGGATGGTAATTAAATAATAGTTTTAGAAATGTGGATTTTACTTCTCTTATTGAAGCTGTTATTATACCAATTCTTGATTTGTTGTATTACAGTTTGAATTCTCTTTAATTCCCTCAGTGCCATGACCACTTTTATCCGGTTGTGAAATTTTTTTTATCTCTTTATATATTAGTTTATAATTTAAAATATTTTGCTTTCTTAGTATCTTTAACTATGTAAATACTCATCTAAATGAATAGAAGTTCATGAAAAGGAAAAGACTAAAATAAATAATTATACAAATTTAGCTATTTCATGCACTTTTAATACAAGTTATAATGAGTAGATCCAAAAACCCGTGCTATTCTGAGGTTTAAAAGTTACGATTATTAACATCTGTGCTAAGAGATTTGTGGCATTTCTAAAGCAGAAAAGTTTTAAATGTAACAAATAAAAGTTGTATATTGTGAGAAATGTTCTGTACCACATTTTTAGATTGTATTCTTCTCTTGAAACCTTGACTGAGCCTCATCGTTTAACGGCTGCAATGCATTGTCTGGTTCCTGTTTCACGTTTCCTAGTTCAAAGTAATAAGTATTTTCCTGACGGTCCTAGTCATGTCATACCATTGTTAATGGGTGCATTACCAGGGATTGATCCAAATGACATCAAAAAGTGTATGGTAAGATGAATTTTACTTATTTTCTTTCTCTATGTCGGCACTTTTCCTTAATGCTTTTAAATTGTAAGAATTATATCTTCAGTATTTGTCTTTAGATTTTTCAAATAAAGTTCTTAATTGCTTAAACCAGAATATTTTTCTCTCTGTATCATGGATCATCACTTTCTACTACATTCAGCTATTGTAATTTTTTACTAGTCAATTTAGTTTACTGCCATAAGGCCAATCACAGAATTTAAAAAAAAAAAAAAAAAAAAAAAAAAAATTATGGTCCTATCACACCTTATACCTGGAGGTGATGCTGTTATTTTGGCAAAGTCAAGAGTTCAAAACTTTGTGAATTTGCAAAGTTTTAATCATCGAGGAAATTAAGCACTGTGGCCTTAAAGTCTTGAATTTCAGTCTCTAATTCATATATACACTATTTAGACAGTCTTTTAGATATGCAGAATATTGAAACTTGCAGTTTCTTGATCACGTAACGTGAACCAGCTAATGGGAAAGTTTTCACTTTCCTAATTTGCGTAAATGAAGAAATAATCTTGAAAAATAATTTTTATGATTGAAGTCACATATTGGAGGCTGATGTATAGGAAATGAATGTAAGTAAAGTCACATAGTGTGATTTGGCTAATAGGTGAATGTTCACTCTCAAACTTTGGCAGTAATTTTTTACAGATACACTAAAACATTGAATAATAATGATGATTAAATAAATGAAGTAAATAATAGTTGATAAGTAATGTCCTTAACCTGCTTTATAAAGTCACTCAAAGTCCATTTCCTGCTTTGTCATGAGAAAAGTAGAAGGAAAATTTCTATTTACATATGTGCAGATATACTACCACCAGCATGAGTTGTGGTGAATCGTTCTAGGTCTTTTAACTCTTTCGAATCGAGAGAGGGCAAAATCTCAATTCCCCAAACATCGAAAACGCCCGTATCTAAGAATTTCTCCTGGAATGCTTTTCCTTTCCCCGTGGCAAGTTGAATACTACAGTGCTAACAATAGCCTTACTTAAGTAAAGCGAGAACTTCTTTCTTCGACGCTTTGACACTGTGTGAAGTTCCCCCTTGGGACGAGATTGCAACTTCGGGCATCAAAGCTAAACACGGACAGTAAACAAAGGAAAGGAAGGAACAAAGGAAACAAGGAAGCTACTTTTAGTATCTTCAAAAGAATGATTGACATGTGATTTAACAACACCTGAAAGCAATGAGTAATGCAGTAACGTGATGGGGGAAAGCACTGGGTAGGAAATTATTCAGGCGTTTCGGGCGTCCAGCCGATGTCTGAATGTTTGGACGTTTGGGACGACTTCGATGCCAAAGAGTTATCAGTATTATTCTCCCTGTAAAGATGTTTTTAATCATGCTGCATCTTCATCTTTTTTTTTATGTATATACATATATCTAAATGTATAGTACCATCAATATAAAAATATTCTTTTATAAGTAAGGAAAAATCTTTTTGAAATTATATTACAGTTCAAAGTCCGTAATCTGGACGTACATTATCTGGAATTATCTATAAGCCAGACCTCAAAGCCACAAACTTTATGCATGCACGTAAATAATGTGCATACATTACGCATGTGCATAAAGAATGCGCATGATGTATGCTTTATGCATGCATGCGCTGAAAGAAATGTTTAATAAAGTAAACAAATAAATATTAAGCTTTTTTTGTGAAATTTGATACCCTTTAGATCATAATTGCTCTTTATTTCATAAATTATGGTTTCATATTTTTAGTTGTATAATTTCTGCATGCCATCTTACCAGATTTAAATTGATGATCTATAATCCAGAAAAATCCCTAATCGATAATCGCTGAAGTCCCGACGAGTCCGGATTACGGACTTTGTGCTGTATATGTTAATCATTCTGACTTTCACAATTAAAAAAAAAAAAAAAAAATGTAAGTTTGTAAAAAATATTGTAAAGAGTTCGAGATTTCCTTGTGGTTATATCTCCCACTATTTAAATGGTATCAAGATTATATCACCAGGTTTTAATTCAATATCATTGCCTCTGCCGAGTAGCAAATAAACTACAGTTCAGTTACACTTACAACTTTTCATGTTGCCCTTCCAGATATTTTCATTGATATATCATTTTATTTCATGAGATTTTTGCTTACTTAAATGTGAGGTAAATGTGATTTTCTGGGAAGAATGGTATAACATCTTCCTCACTTCTGTGCAAATCAAAAATTTACATTTTTTGAAAAAATGTAAAAATATGATAAAATACAATAATCTGGCCTGTTCACAGCTATTCACTTGATGAGTGGACTATAAATGAACATATATACATATATTTTTTGGCTTGTCTCTAGAATAAAAAGAGTTATATGGAACAAAAATTTTTACTATTGGAAATTACATTTCTAACCTATATCAATAAATTTTAGTTATTTGTATCCTTTATTAGTGTAGATATTAGATAGATATAAATAAGTGTAAAATTTTGTTGTTGAAAGTGTTCACATTGTTTAATTTATTATTTTTTGTTCATCTTCCCTTCTTTTTCTTATTAGGTAACATTTCAATTTATATCTACTCTTATCAGCCTTGTGTTATTAGTTGATTGTTCAAGTGCTGTCAGCACAACTACAGAACTTCCAGAAGTGAGTTGTTTATATTATAGAATTTATAGGTGTTGTGCTTTAATTGCTATAGTTTTGTATCTAAATCTTCCTATTCAAGGACACCTGAAACCTTCCTCTAATAGTGACCTGATAGTCTGCATTTTTACTTCCTTGTGCAAAGTAAAAGAATATCGAGCCCTCCCACTTTTTAAAAAAAATTTTGGTTCCTTTAAAGTCATAAATGAATATCTGGAAAAAATCAGAATTAACAAAGTCCTGACACGTTCCAATATCAGACTTTGTACTCTATATGTATTTATTAAGTTTTGGAAAGCAGGGGGGTAAGATGATCTCATAGAAGTGGTGAAAGGGGTGTATGGAACAAAAAAAAAAGGTTGAAAACCATCTATCAAGCAGTTCGATGTAAGACATTTGTTATGAACTTTTTCAACTTTGTGTATTTTTGCTCAAGAATGTGATTCCATTAATGATATAACCTATGAACTTATAAAACTGTAACTGTGTAATCCGAATGAGTGTATCCGAAGGGACACTGATTCGGATGAGGAAGATATTTTGAGGATATGAGGATAGCAGAATCAAAAGCAATCTGTTGAGGCAAAGATCTTTGGAGAAAATATTATTTCATAAATTTATAGTGTCCATCTAGGAATTGTCCTAGGGCCTTTTATCTAATTCACTGATGCATTGTCCACCAGACCACATTAGAAGAATGTTTTAATATCATATATTAATAGGCAGCTTCCATTGCTTTATCATTTCGAGCTAGGGATGAATTATTGTCCATTATTGGAGAACTCTTATTTTTTTAAAACTAACAATATTAAAAATTAAAACCAAATCTTGAGTTGATATTCTGGTCACTGCACCACAAAAGTTCATGGTAGGAATGTTTCTGATATTTTTGTCAGTGTACCTACAGAACCTCTGATTTTACAGACAGTTTTTAAAGTCACGTATATTTTAGCATAATAATTAATAATAATAAAAAGTAATCAATTGGAAAGATGAAACAAATTAAAAGAAATCGTTAAAATGGCAAAGAATTTGATATCTATAAGTTGGGGAACGTAAAATCTGACGTTTTTTTTATAGATTGTATGATAATTAAATATATTTTGGTCCCATTCTGTCGGCCAGAATATATGTAATCACCATCAAAAATAGGAAGATGATATATTACATTTTATTGAGACATACATACATGCACCTTAAAAGTTACATTATGAAGATGGTATTTGTTAAAGTTAATGCAACTTTGCGTTTGGGCATAAAAAAAAAAAAAAAAAAAAAAAAAACATTCACTACACACTGCATCATAACATTAGTATGACTAACTTCACATGTAATCTAATGAATACGACAGTGCTGAGTAGCATACACTTTTGATTTGATATATCCACATTCAGTTTAAGTCTGTCACCAATGAGCAGTGGAAACTAATCACAAAATAGTAGCCCTTCTTCTTGTTGATTGAAAAACCATTTCTGCTTACCTTTGCTATGTATGGTGCAACATCAAGTTTTTGATATTTTTCACATGCATGTGCTATGTTAAATCTTTATGCTTTCAGTATTTTAAAACTTTCAGTACTTGAATACAAGATAAATGGAGATCAACTTTCTGATGTAATTTTTAAGGTGATTAGTTTTACTCCCATCTCATCATATTATTGTTATGGTACCAGAACCCTGCACTTGATCCTTTAGTTTTTTTGCAAACTTACATTACATTGGTATTCGGAAGTTCTCGTGAATCTTGGTAGGATAAAAATTACTTCAGAATTTAGTTAAATAACTTGTTGAAAAATTTTATCTAAATTTAAGATACAGAATAGAAAACTTAAAAGTATTACTGTCTTCTAAAATTTTTTAGCTATGTGGTCAAAACTCTTTATTCACTTTATCTTATTTTTTAATTAATTCATTAAATATTTGCTTTTCCCATTTATAGAAAAATAAAAAATTTCTATTTTCAGCAAGTTCAAGAAGTATGCTTAGCAACTGCTGCATTTGAAGATTTTGTACTTCAGTTTATGGACAGGTATGTTTTTTCACAATTTGTAAATTTGTCCGTTAAAGCTTGAAAATGCATACCTAATCTTTCTATCATGTTTTGTGTATAATTATGAATTTAATTGCTTAGTATTAAATGAAATGTGAAAAAATGTGTATTTTACTCCATTGTCAGGTGCTTTGTGCTCATTGAAAATAGCTGCTTAGATAATCCAAGTAGGTTAGATCGAGATTCCGAGCGAACCAACCCTGAAGAAAATTTCCTGGAAGTGGGCTTATACAGTACATTTGGCATTATTATCACTCAGAGCTCACCAGCTATATATGAAGTAAGTACACTAAATTATAATAAATTAAAATCTTGTATCATAAATACTGTTTATTAATGTTACATATTTTTAAATACAATGTCTAACGTGTAATTTTTATGAAATATGTATGGCTGAAAAGTCAGTAGACACCTTTTGTTGATGGTTCATAAAACTACAGTTGTGTTATTACAATAAATTAGATCACCATTTGTTGTTATTGTATTTATTCTTCTTTAAGATAAATCATCCTTTACATTCATAAACAGCAGAATAAATTGTAAATTTATTCCCTTTCCTCAGTCTTACAGACTTCAGAGCTATTTATCAAATATGCTTGATTTAACAACCATTATTCTGTTTCATTGTGAAGATAGAGATTTCTCTGTATTTCAAAATAAAGTCAGTAAACTGTTCCTTGTGCAGGTCTTTGAATCACAGAGCTTGAAATATTGCTTAGCAAACAAGTACAAGGTTCTTAAAAAATGACCAGGACTGACTTTTTTTGTAAATAACTGAAACACTCGTTGTGAATGAAATGTAACTGAGTTGAATGTGTCACCCTTCACTGTACTTCTCACCAAAGTCAGTGTATTTTTACCAATGTTCTGGAAGCATTTTCGTGCCTTTTACATAGGAGATCTCAGTTAACTGCTAAATCACTCGGGATACTGATGTGCTAAATTATAAACATGGTTCATTTTCTATGTTTTCTCGTCTTTTTCTGAAGCCAGTCAAACATCTGGGTCCCAGAGAGACAGTCTACCAGTACTGTTCTTGGAGTCTGCCCAATTTCTGATGTCATTACCTAGTCTCGAACTAGAAATTTGATCACCTTGCCTTGTTTCACACTCTGAGGCACCTGTTTTTCACTCATCACTTTTGAAATTGCCAGATGTGATTGAAAAAATCCTAATATATGCAAGAGTTAAATGTACTTATCCAAGAGCACGCAGCATCATGTCTTGGTAGTGCTTTGTAAAGCAGCAGCCGTTGTCATATTTGAATATTATACCTCATCATCTTGAAATAAGAAATGATCTAATATAAGTAACTGCCACGCATGAGACGCACATTATTATCTTGAATATCATTATGGACCCATGATATTCAAGACTTAAGATTTCTATCCCCATTTTAATTTAATTTGCAGTAAATTAAACCAAACCTTTTGACAATTTTATTAGATGGCATATTTCAAACATATCTGATCTTAACCCTTTGCACTCAAGGTCTTTTTCGCTTGGGTGAATGAGTGACTCAAGATGATTTTCCACATGTTTCGGGAATTTCTTACAGCTGATTTAAAGTTATTTCACACACAATTGAGAGAAATATGATGGTTCTTTTATGTCTGAATATACTTGTGATCTTTTTATTTCGCAGGATACAAATGGTATTTCTTCGATTTCTGTGCACGTTATCCATTCTGAATTTTCTCTCTTTTCTTCTGAATCACTGTCATTTCATTTTCACTATTATATTACATCGAATTTTTGCCTTCTTACACTTTTTACTTCATCACTGCTTACTTACTCTCTATTATCAAGTCGTCTGTGCATATAGGTAATTTCGTTCTTCATCAATGAAAAAGCGAATTCATGTTCACTTAAAATGATTTCTTCATCATATTCCATGCTTATTGGGCTCTGTAACTTTGAAAATAATTTTCCTATTGCCACGACTTTCGAGTTCGAACCAACGTCGAAGACGTATGTATAACAATAAACCTAAAAAACCTATTTAAGAGTAAAGATTGACAGTTGTTTTATACGCATGTATTGTTGAATACATTCATGAAGCGATATTGCCCAAACCAAACCTAAATAAATATCATTACTGCCCGAATTATTGCATTAAATCAAGTGGTGATTGAGAATCACCTCTCAAGTTATCACGACTCTTCAAGTGCAAAGGGTTAATTATCTGATCTTCATTAGTTTTTTCTGGCTGTCATTCCAGTGGTTGGGTTTGATGCTTTCATGATATTTGCATTTTATAGTTATCTATTGTAATATACCAGGAATCATTCAGTTGTCCTGAAGTCCCATGTTAATTGACTGAGTGAGACTACTGAATACTAGAAGTTCGATCCACATTCAAACATAGGCATATAGCTCTCATGTGATTTGCCATATTCTTATTGCCTAACCCAGCCCATGCTGAATAACAGAGCTTGTGGTAGAGTAGAGTGGCTACAATTGTTTTATTTATTTTCCATAATGCAGCTAGTTTTGGTCATCTGTATATCTGTTATGGATGAGACCATAGGAGTTTGGTGTTTTTTGATAATATGGTTTATGTGATATTTCAAGTAATTAATGGCTAATTTTTATTATTTTTGGGGTATGTATTAATGAATTATGAAAATATAGTTCCAACAGTGATACTAAAAAGATATTTCTATGCCTTGTGATAACCATGTGATAATGTGACATCTTCAATGTGCAAGATGTGGTATTGCTTTTTTGTATCTCTTAGATTGGTGCTTAAGTCCATAATTTTATAAAACATTACAAATTTTTATTAATTACATTAGCAAGAATGTGGTAATTAATAAACACAAGTATGTGAGTGATAATTTGAATGTTTTTACTGTAGTTTAATAGTTCACTTTCATAGCAATATTCCTCTGTAAATGGTGTAGTTGCTTCCATTGTTAGTATTCATCTTCCAATGCTAGGGAAGGAGAGTAACACTTCCTCTATATTTTTTGAATTGAAGAAATCAGTTAGCTGACTTTTAAAAGCAGCTACTTCAGGACTTAATATACACTTAGCTAAACTCAAAAAGCAGAATGTGCCAGAAATGTTTAACTTAGAGCACTGTGTTTTATGAACACAGAATTACAAACAGTGAAATAATTGACAAAGAACTTGTGCGTCAATCCAGTAGTTTTCTTATATTTGCTCAGCTGTCTTTAATTATAATTAGTAAATCCAAAATATTTTCATAAAAATCTGTGCAGTATCGAAGTTTCATGCATATTTATGGCTAATATTTTATATTTATCTATTGCAGGTTGCCCTAAGCAAGCTACAGACATTTGTAACTAGTCATATATTGGAAATAAATGTATCTGGGAAATATGCTGCTAACATGTGTCGCGTTGCTTCTAGGGTAAGGTAAATTTATAATTTGCTTCACTTAAAAAAAAATGTATATTAACCTTTTTATTTTAATTTGCATTATAATTATTTGCAGGTTAATCCTGAGTTGGGTCTCCAAGCATTTGTGCCTCATTTCTCAAAATTAGTACTAGCTTTAACAGAAAGTGAGGATCTTGTCAATGAAGAAAAACTTGATGATGAATTGTTATTCAGTTTATTAATATTGTCGGAGGTATATTTACGTTTTTTTGTTGTATTTTTTAGTAATCTGCTATGAATAACTGCATGGAAACTCTTAAAACTTTCTGATAGAAGCTGTACTTGGTTATGTTCATGAAGCCCGTTTTAATTTACATATATGGAAAGATTTTAAAGTTGTCATTAATAACCTAACTAGTTAATGGGTAAAATTTAATTCATTAAAAAGTACTAGTTAAAATTGGAAAAGAAGAAAAGATCAGGGTTTTTTGCATAAGAGGACTGTGCCAAAAAGTTTCCTATAGAAAGATATTGCTTGTTGGCTGAAGTTAAATACATTATTCTTATATCTTATTAAAGGGTTCTTGTTTTCAAAATAAACAGTTTTTAAAGCATGTTCATTCTATTGCATTCTTTTTTTTTTTTTTTTTTAAATATATTTCTTGTAAAAATTTTACGACAGGTGAAATGAGTTGATGATGAAAGTATGTTTTCTCTATGGAAGTATCAAATTAGTGGCTAAACAATTTTCTGTTTCATTTTTGGACTTTTTAGAAAACTCTAAAAATCAGATCTAAAAGCAAGATAGTAATGTTTAATAGTAAAAATGTCAAAATAATGTTTGTGTGATTTAGTCAGTCATAAATAAAAGCCAGTATACTTTTTATGCATTCTTGAAAACATATATAGGTCAAAATAATGTTTGTGTGATTTAGTCAGTCGTAAATAAAAGCCAGTATACTTTTTATGCATTCTTGAAAACATATATAGCCCTTTCTTTAACCCTTTCAGGCGTCCCATATATGCATTCCCTAAGAACGTCTCTTACAGCTGGGTGTCCCATCCACTCATTGCTAGAGGTCGCATTTAGAGGACGGGTGATGCGTATACGCATTTTAAGCTGGAACGTTTTTCGGAAGGCCACTGGATGGCATCCTATGTCCATTACTTTTGAAATGAACACAGTTTTATGTTCCTGACCTTGAGTTAGATATATTCTGCTTGAATTTGGTATTTTACTCATCAGCTCTTGCGAGGGTGGGGGTGGGAGGGAAAGCGTAAACAGAGGGGAGCTCATTAAATCGCTGCGTGCTAATGAAAACATTCGCATGTCTGATTTATATTCAATTCCTTTTTTTATTTTATTTTTTCCTTTACTATGCAAGGTCTTTTAGGGTTAGTATGTGGAGTATTGTTAAGTTTTTTTGCATTGCCCTCAGATATATTTCCGTTTCTTCTCTTTTTATATCGGAAAGCCTCACCTCCAGTCTATTACGGTGGGAAGGTGCCATTTTTTAGAGGAAGAATACCCTCGTATGGTCAATGAACCATTTATTAACACACATGAGGGTGATGATTCATTTTTTAAAGAGTTAGAAAGTGATACTTTTTCTAAGAGTTAGAAGTGATACTTCTCCATGCTTCGAGATTTGCCACACTCAGTCTTCATTTTAAATTTTGTTACTTCTTACTGTAAATGGTCTTTATTGTGTTGTTTTATTAATTTTAAACTTTATTGATGGATTTTATCAATTAAAACTTTGGCATAATTTGAATAGCACTTCCGAAAATTATTTTACAAGATAAGCAATTTTTTAAGTATATTTTCATGTAAAATTAAGAAAAAAACTTTATTAAGTGCTAAATTTTATGTATATAAGAGCTCAAGTAATAATCGAAAATGATACCAAAAATTACAATGCTAGAAGCAAAACTTTTTTTTTTTTTTTTCTTTTTTTTTTTCCCTCTGAAAATTAGGCTTAGTGGTGCAAAATCTCCGTCCTGTACGGTCGATTCCTTTCCGTCCCGCACGAGCGTCTTAAACAAAGGTGCGCCATCGCGAAAAGGTTAATAATATCTGTTATATTATTTACCTATTGTGCTTCAATATAAATTCGCTTAGCTTTTTCCAGTTATTTGTGATCATAATTTTTTTTTTTTTTTTTTTTTTTTTTTACTCTTTCATATATGAAGTGAAAAAAACTCTTAATTTGTTGCAAAGTTTACTTTTATTTTGAAAGATTTTTCTGCATGAAATTTGAGAAAGCAAAAGTTCTGGGGTAAAGATTTATAGCTGTGATTTAAAAATTTGATCCCCAAATATACATTTTCCTCTTGTTCAGTTTCTAAACAATTTTGTATAATTACCATATATTCCGGTGTATAACGCGCACTTCTAATACAAAAAAAATGACATCGAAATTTACGGATGCGCATTATACGTCGGATATAAAAATGGTAGGTTTAAAAATAAAGAAAAGATGAGCATAAAAAAATTTTATTCCTACATGTATCTAAATGCTGTTAGTAGCTATTTTGGTGATTTTCTAGGACCCACTTGGTCTTTATTTAAGGAAAGAATTTCATTATATTTTTCGGCAAATCATATTCATTGTTTGGCATATTAATTGTGATATCATTTTTCTTCCACTCACGAATGCAGCTTTTTACCAATGTCAAACATCCTTGCTCCAACACGATTTCCATTTTCTTTCGCCAACTGAATGACTTTGCATTTGAAACCAGCACTATGTTCTTCAAAATCATGGCTTCAAATAACTACATGAAGAGAAAAATTCTGACTCCCTATTCTGTGAATTCATTCAGGTTGGAAGTACATTCGTATCCCAAATTATGTCCCGCTTTTCTTGAAACCTTAGAATAACTTTCTTGTATGCATATGCGTAGAATACAACTAACCCTTTTTGCAGATTTAGTCTACATACATATTATTCCTCTTATAGTTTGTCAATTCAGTGTGCCATTGTTCAAAAGCCTGTGGAAAAAAATCTTCGATTGAATGACTTCAGAAGATAACAGCATCACACATGTATCTTTCAGGTTTCTTCATAAAGAAAAAGGTGCGTCTTAAATGGCGAATTTACCTATAAATTAAAAAAAAGGTGGTTTGAGATTACATATGCACATGCCAGAATATACTGTATATAAACACATATAGGTACATGCATTAAATGTAATAAAAAACTTGTACTTTCTGATTATTTGCTCCTTTACTAAAAAGTTGCAGAAAAGTATTGATGAGACAACTGACGTCGCCAAAAGTATATATGTAGGAACCCATGATGTCACCAATGGGGCAATCCAGGTATGTGTATAGCATCCCTCTGAGACAGCTTTCCACTTCTACAGATAGTATTACTGCAGATTATGATCACTGTTATGTGAATTACATTGTTTTAGCATATGGTGAATTGTGTGCTGTAGTTTTTATCATTGTGGTCACCAAAATCTTGGGCTTGGATTTCTGCATACGTAAGAGTCTAATGTAGCTCACTTAACATTAAACATATACAGGAATTAATTTTGAAATTATACAGTTTTGAGAGATTTATTATAAAGCTGTTACTATTTTTTGAACAAAAGGGATTCAATGAACAATAGCTAAATTAAAATGGAGAGTTCAGAGACTAATTAAATTAGAATTTTGATTTGTATATTTTTATCGTGCATGTATTTTTGAGCATGTTTGTGATATTATTTAAAGAATATATATAGTATATTTGACCCAATGGTTTTCTTTTGTAATGAACTTTCTCAGAATTGAGTGATTCAGTTGTATTGTTTGTTTCTTTTTAGATGTGTGTATAATTTTATTATAAATTTGAAGTATCTTTTATTCTGAAACATCCAATTTCAGGTCATACGCTGCGATGGTCGTTACCTGCTTAAATATCAAAGCAATATTGAAAGGTTGCTAGAAAGGACATTGCATCTTAAGTGCAAGGATGGATATCGTTTGGCTTGTTGTATATTAAATTGGACATTAAAGACTTATGTGCAGTGTTACCCTCTAGAAACTTGCAGTATTTCAAATCCATGGTCACGCTATGGTTCTGAAGAGCTTCATCGTTATTTAGATGTGAGATATTAATTATATACATCATTTATTTTTTAATGTTGACAAATAGAAAAAATACTTTGCAATAAGCATACCTGAGTTTGTAAACATATTTTTACCTTCTAAAATGAAAATGTATGAATTGAATACGATTTGTAACTGTTTATTTATTTGTGTAACTATATTCTTTTAATTAATTAGAAATTGAGGAAATATTGCTCAAACTGTTTTCGATTTGGTTTTCTCTGCTGGTTATCCAAATAATAATAATTAATCAATATCCAACCTATGATTTTGCAAAATTGTTTTAATGAGTTTTAATTTCTTAGGATTGGGGCGTTCCAGGAGATATAAATAATTTAGATATGAAGTGTCATATTCCGTCAAATGAAGAATTAGCTGCTGCCAGATCACTCCTTGAAAAGTTTTTAATTCCAGAACTTATAAAATTGCAAGAATGGGCTTCAAAGAAAATTGTATTATCAAGGTATGTTTGTTTCATTTGTATTTTAAACTCTCGATAATTTTAATTGAATTTAACAATGCATAGTGTTCAGATTTCGTTTTTCAAAGTTGCTGAAAAATAAGTTAAAGCTTTTGCTTATACAGGTAATGAAAATTATCTTGATGGAATAATTTCTTGATGTGTTTTAAATACTGAGTTGAAAAATAATTGTTTTGTAAAATGTTTTTTTTTCTCAAATCAGTAATATATAATAAATATCCTTTTCTAACTGCAATTTGTTTTTCAAATCAATTTCAATTAGCTTATTGGGTTGTAATATGTACTTTTTTCTCCGTTCCAGAGATATTGTTCATCGATCACTGAACATTGTATTACACAGTCTACTTGGTGCTTCTGTGTCACTCCCCATGTGGCCTGGAGAGCAGCTGCTGTTGTAAGACTTGTTGAATAAGGAACATTAACTATATTACATAAAACAATTCCTTAGTTTTTTTTAAATGTATGTGTATACAATGTTGCCACGCTACCTGGAAAACCTGAAAAACCAGGAAAAGTCAGGAAATTCAAAAATTGATCGAAAATTCAGGAAATTTAAATATTTTAGTCAAAATCTAGGAAAATCAGAATTTTTTACTGCGATTCAAAAAAAGCGATTTTCGCACCATTGGAAGCGATCACTTTCTTTGTGAATCATGTATCGTGGAAGCAACATTTAGAGCTAATTTTGCAGCAGCAATCAGATTGTCTTAGCTAATTTTGCAGCAGCAATCAGATTGTCTTTTAGAAAGGCAAAGCAAGGTTCTAGCGTCTTTGGTTTCTAGTAATCTCGAGAATACAGATATGATGCGTGGTGGTTATGGCTTGGTATCCTTAAAAGGTATATCCTTAAAAAACATGACTCCATTTCATTAAACATAACTTTATTCATTCACATTATAATTTTAATCACAACTATCATAACAGAACAGAAAACTATTAAACTAAAATTTGTACATCCTATGCTCGAGCTAAGGGCGAAGTCGGCAAGTTCACTGCCACACAGGCAGTTTTTACACAACACAACATTACTTGGTCTAGCAGCGCACGCAGCCAAACATCAGACTGCCACACGGTATCCCCCCAGTGACACAGTCACGACACAAAAGGAGTTGGCTGTAAAATTCCAATTTAAGATATGCACGTACCAAAAAAAAAAAAAAAAAAAAAAAAAAATACAAAATATATGAATAGTAATAATACACTTAAATTCTGATTGAAATATATACCATACAATGCATAATTTAGTTAAACAGAAATAATGAAAAGTTAATAAGAAACTCATAATACATATGAAAAAAAAATCAAGTATTTATACACTATGACTTTTTGCAACAAACCACAGTGAAAAACTTTAATCATATTACAGTGATTAGTTCTTCATAAAAATGAACACAACATCCGCTGCGGGTAACTACTTGTTTTGGAACAATTTTTTAGTCTTCACAGACTTCCTGTGGAAACTGAGGGATTACAGATGAATCTATGCGTTCTGACAACATACATGCTGGTTTCAAACAATTGATTGAGACTGTAATCTTTTTGTTATTTACCTCAATAATAAAATTTTTGTCCATTCGTTTAACCACGGTATGAGAACCAGTTAAAGGTGGAGTTAGAGGCAGTTTAACAGAGTTGATACGCAGAAATACAGAACAGGTTTGAAGTGCTGACACATGAGAGAATACATGAGAAGTGAACACATGAGAACATATACTGCATTTATTTCAACCCTAAATAAGGCATTAGGAACAATATTGTCATGGCCTTTGATGTATAGTGGTGGCCAAAATTGTGGACACTTTTAGAAGTTTTTATGTTTTTGAAATTTTGTATGCTTATAGAAAATGTTACGTTTTGCAAAATGCAAACTTGTATATATCATTTTAAAGCGAATTTATTACTGAATTCAATACAAAACACAAAATTCAATTATTTGCAATATAAAAAAAGTTATATGTACTTTAATATAAATAAAAAACACAGTTATGAAGTGGTTTGTAATGTCTAGCTTTCCTGGCCAATCACTGTTCTTGTTCTGAGAACCAATCAAATGTTAGTAACTGCCAGTAGAAGCTGACATCATGTTTACACTTGAAACAGTTCATTATTTTGCTTTGTTCTGTAGAAGGAGGACCTGTTTTCTTATACACTGCAATTACAAGTAGGAATTTTTTGTAAAAATTTTTTAATATTTAGTCAAGAAGCAATGACATCAAATAAAAGAAAAGATTGGACACCTAGAAAGAGATGTAATATTATTGTGTTACGAGAAAGTGGTCTTTCCTATGCTGAAATTGCAAGACAGGTGAGTGGTTCAGTGACTACATCTGGAGTCCGAAAGTTTTGTTTATGATATCAGGAGACAAATTCAATAAAAAACAAAGAAGGAAAAGGCTGAAAAAGTTGCACCACATCTATTGATGACGGAAGAATAAAAGGACTATGTCTCCAAGATAGAAAAATGTCATCAGCGGCCATCAGAAGTGATTTGGATGATGCTGGTGTTTCTCTCAGTTCAAGAACAATCAGGACAAGATTAACAGATGTTGCACTGAGAGGTAGAATTCCACGAAAAAAGCCTTAATTTTCCGCAACGAAAACAAAGACTACAATGGGCAAAGGAACACATTAATTGTACAGATGATCAGTGGTCACAAGTTATATGGAGTGATGAAACTAAGATATCGTTATTCGGTAGTGATGGGCGAAATAGTAAGATGTAGAATAGGAGAAGAGCTACATCCTGACTGCATTCAAGCAACTGTGAAGAACCCCCAGTTAGTGTTTATGATTTGGTCATGCATGTCAGCAGATGGTATTGGTCGCCTTCATGTCAACGATGGGACACTGAATGCCAGAAAATACATTGACACTATTCTAGAACCAAAACTTCTACCTTCCATCAGAGATCTCTTTCCCCACATGCTTCGTTTATTTTTCAGCAGGATTTTGGCTCCTTGCCACACGGCCAAAATATCGAAAGAGTGGTTTCGTACAAGAGCATTAAATTGTTGTCATGGCCAGGAAACAGTCCTGCCCTCAATGCTATCTAAAATTTGGGGCACCGTTTAAAAACTCTTGTCCGAATGAGGCGCCCATCAAATAAAAGGGAACTAATTGAGGCTATAATTGTTTTCTGGCATAGTGTAATAACGAAAGAAGAGCTTAAAACTCTTCTCAGCTCAATGAAACGTCGATATGTAGCTGTAATCAAAAATAAAGGGTACCCTACTAATTACTGATAACTCGCTGCAATCATTACTATCTAATGTATATCGATAACTATTATCGTTTAACTTTTTTGTATTGCAAATAATTGAATTTTGTGTTTTGTATTGAATTCAGTAATAAATTCTCTTTAAAATGATATATACAAGTTTGCATTTTGTGAAACGAAACGTTTTCTATAAGCATACAAAGTTCAAAAACATAAATATTTCCAAAAGTGTCCACAATTTTGGCCACCACTGTATAGTATGTTAGTGGAAAATTGGTCTATAAAATCAAGACGACGAAGTTGTCGTAAAGAACATTTTTTGGGCTTCTGCTTAAAAGCATATATTAAGGGCTTTTAGTCTGTGTAGATTGTAAAAGCCCTGCCTTTAAGCATGTGGCGAAACTTCCTAATATACAAATAAATACCCAATAGTTCTCGATCATAAGTGGACCATTTCTTTTGACTTTTGCTGAGTTTAACGGATAGAATCGCAATGGGTTCCCAAACTGAATTATGCAATTGCATTAATGAGCTACCAGTTATAACGTCCGATGCATCAGTACAAAGTTTCACCAGGAATCGGGTGTCTAAGAAGGGTTGCCTCAGCAATTTTTTTTTTCCGAATGCTTTCTGATCTTTGTAGTACCGTTCGAGAGGTTATCTTTTGCTTGATTGTAAAGTTTTATTAATGCGGCCTTCCAATAACCTATTCAAGGAAGCTAAAACGAGAAGCTCTTGGGACAAAATGTCTGTAAAAATGATATATGAAAAGAAATTTTCTTAACTGAGTTAATGTGTTTGGTTTTGGAAATTTTTGAGTGGCTTCTACCCTGTCGGAGTAAAGGTTTTAAACCCTGTTCCGATACATGAAAACCCAAAAATTCCAAAGAAGTTAAACCAAAACTGCATTTAGATATATTAATTCTTAACCCATAATTACTTAATCTTTCCAAAAGAGCTTTCAAGTGTATCAAGTGCTCAGTTTCGTCCCTTGACGCAATCAATATATCGTCGACAAAAGCAAATACTCCTGGCAGCTCACGAGTTACTTCATCAATAAAGCGTTGAAAGGTTGCAGCTGTTTTGCATAACCCCTTGTACTCTCAAAAAGTCCGAAAGAAGTGGCAATAGCCATTTTATTGATATCAGAGGGATTACTTGGTATTTGATGATAGGCTTTTACCAAGCCTAATCGAGAAAACACCTTTGCTCCATGCAATTCTGCTCAAAATCACAAATGTTGGGAATAGGATACTTATTCTTCACTGTCTCAGTGTTTAACCTCCGAAAATCTTCCACAGGTCTCCATTCGTTAGTGCCTTTCTTTGACACCATGTGAAGAGGAGAGGTGTAATTGCTTTTGGAGGGTCGCATGTGACCTAAATTGATAATTTTTTGAATTTCATGCATAGCAATTTTTAATCTATCTGGAGTTAGTCTCCTTGGCTTACATGAAATGTGAGGACCAATAGTTTCAATGAAATGCATAGTATTATGCTTAACAGTCTTATTAAGATCAGGAAGCTTAGACAGTAATTTATCATAAACACAATTTGTAATAATTATTTTAACAGAATACAAATGTGAGTTAATTACACTGCAATTAATTTTTAAATGTGTTTTTAAGTCAACAAGCTTTTTGTTCCTTAAATCAGGTAATAAATCAAAGTCATGCAAAAAATCTGATTCAGTAATATTTGTTGACTCATAAAAGGTAAAATTGAAATTGCGACAAAATCCAAGGTCAATACTTGGAGATTTTTGTCCGTAAACTGGAATAGGAGTACCATTAGCTGCAGAAAACGTCATGATAGGTGTTTAAGTAAATTCCCCCCATTCTCATTTTGCGGTAAAATAAACAAATTTAAAAAAAAAATAATGTCGTCTAGGCTAACCATTTAATATGAGGTAAATATTATGAGTATCATTTAATATGAGGTAAATATTATGAGGTATTCAAAAGTTCTCGGACTGAGTCTATAATGTAAAAAAAAATATTATGAATTAAATTGCAGAAACACATCCTCCTTCGAAATAAAACCCTTGTACAACAACACACTTTTGCCAGCATCTGTAAATTTCATCAAAGCATGTCTGGAATCCATTTTTGGCCATGTCCTTTAATTCAGCCTGTGATGCCAGTTAATTTCATCTGAAAATTGAAATCAATGACCCTGCAAGCATCCTGCAATTTCAGGAATTAGGAAGAAACGCATGGTGCAAGATCATGCAAGTAAGGAGGACGAGACAAAGCAGTTTTTGTTTTTTAAGAAAGTCATTGATGAGTAGGGATCGGTGAGCAGGATCGTTGTCATGTAAGAGCACCTATGATTGCTCGCATTTTTGGTCTGTTCCGGATTGTCTCATGTAAATGATGCAGGATTTCGACATAGAGTTCTTTGTTCACAGTGCATCCTTCAGGGATAAATTCCAAATGCACAATGCCCTGCATATCGAAGAATACTTCTAGAATGACCTTTCTTTTAGAGCGATCTTGACGGAATTTCCGCTTCTTTGTTCACAGGATAAATTCCAAATGCACAATGCCCTGCATATCGAAGAATACTTCTAGAATGACCTTTCTTTTAGGGTGATCTTGATGGAATTTCCGCTTCTGTGGAAATTGTGGTGATTTCCATGTTGCCGATGCTCTCTTGGTTTGCGGGTCGTATAAAAAACACCATTTCTCGTCTCCAGTAAGAATTCTGCCAAGTAAGGAAGGATCTTTGTCAACGGCCAAGATTAAGTCTCGTGCCATTTCCATTCGAATTCGCTTTTGGTCTACATTTAACATGTAAGGAATGATGTGTTGACACACCCTATGCATGTTAAGATCCTTACAGGGTTCGTAGCGGTCTTTGCAAGTGCTTATAAGTTCTTATGTTTGAAAATAAAGTATAAAAGCCCTTATAGGTGCTTATTTTTTCTTTAAAGCACTTATTTTTTGTTTTTAGTGCTTATTTTTTGCTTTTAGTGTTATTTTTTTTTAACGAACGTACATTTTTTCTCCGTACCAAAGCTGAAACAGCGAATAAACAACTTTTCTTACTTATATGGAACGTCAGATGGTGAATGATAATCCCAGAAATAGCTTTCCGCCCCTTTCTCTGCATTAACATAACATGCATGTAACTCTATTGGTCAAAGAATTACATTCCGTATTCTTTTGCTCCCACCCAATACCACACACGTTTGAATTTCTATCAAGATTTTAATAATTTACATTCTCGTTCCGCGTGGTAAGTTCATATTCGCGTTTATTATGATCAGTATGCTTATATCTTTATATATATAAGTGTGTTTCGCCAATAGTTTATTGTTGCCATTCGGAATAATGAGCTCGGAAATTAACGTTTACGCAGTTTTTAATTAATGTCTCGGCCGATTAAAGTCATACGAAGATCAGAACGGTATTGATGGATTCGGAGAATTTTTTGGAATCCGAGGATATGCGTGTCTAATTTCAACTCGGCGCCTTTCCATAGATATTCGAGAAAAAAGAATTGGGCACGTAGCCAAATCCCTGTAATAGGAAAAACCCAAGAAAGAAAGTGGAAAACGTAGGGGAAAATTAGTTTTTAATTAATATCTCAGCGAATTAATGTCCCAAGAAGACGGGAATTCTTAAAATGGCGTGCCACGGACCTGCGGAATCCAACGGTGTACTTCACTAAGCCCGGGAGCCAGCCGTTTCAGAGGAGATGATGTTACTTCACCCCATATATATATATATATGCAGCTTAAGTGTCTGTTTGTCACCGATAGTTTATTGGTTGCTTGCGTAACTGTACTAGCCAATGGGGTGAAGTTGCCACAGCACAGGTTTGCCGTTTCAATTAAGGCATAGACAATTTCCTGTAAAACTTGCCTTTGCTATGACCATCCATAAGTCTCAGGGCCAAACGCTTAAGCGTGTTGGCATTTTTTTATCTGAGCCTGCATTTGAACACAGTCAACTTTATGTTGCCTGTTCAAGAGTTCATGAAAGAACGGACGTAAAATTAAAAATAATGGATGGTCTTCTGCAAGGCAAGTTTAAAAATGATGGAAAGATCTACACAAGAAATGTTGTGTACAAAGAGATCTTTGACATGTGAATTAACATTTCATTATTTAAATCACCTTTATTGAATGAGCTAGCAGTGGCTCTTAAGAAATATACCGCCAGTGGTTTCCTTCAATGCACTCTACTTTAAGCAAGTAGAAGGGGGAAACCCTGTGGGGGCAGTAAGCAAAAGGGCATCCTCGCCGCCTGCCCTGGGTAATTCAATTTAAATTACCAGACACTTTTGCACAAATCATTTTAATTACAATTTATACTATCTAGTACAGCGGTCATTTCGTATGTCAGCCGGGCGTTTTAGTTATGAACATATGTATGAATATTTATAATATTATATTTGCAGTAACTGCTGAAGTATAAACTTCAAAAATGGGTAAGTGTGTTTTAGCACAAATTAGTTTTCAAAGGAATAATATTCGGAATGGCATAAATAAAGTGAAAGTAATCAAATAGTAATTTTTTTTTTTTTTTTCCCCAATGCATTATACAGTACAGAAGTTGGGGTTATCCCCTTTTTCTGCAAAATCTCGAATATTGAAACCGTTACAGTTTGCAGCAAAGCAAACAATGGACTTTTTTTTTTTTTTTTTTGGGTCACTTTCCCATCTGGATTGAATAGGACAAAGTTCTGTAGTGTACCATTCCAAGCGAAGAATGATTCTATTCTGGAAATTTAACGCAGTCTGTTCAAAATTAGAATGACAAACACCCAAGATTGGTAAATCTCTTTATTAATCAATATGAGCCAGCGCAACGTGTCCTGCTCAATAATAAATATGCCACATGGGCGCATGATGGTGAAAACCGGACGAAGCAAAGGGGCGTTTTCCTTTATTTAGTTATTTATTCTCCGAATACCGGCAGCTGTTGATTCCAATTGCGTAATATCACGTGCGGAAGAATTAAGGCGCACATATTGCGCAATAACATTTGCGATATTTCACAGAGATAAAAGAGTTACTAAGCAGATTAATTTTCAGTTTCATTGGACTATTTTTTATACGATGCACATATCGAAATGTCAAGAGCATTATTTAGCTGAAAAATCTTTAAAGAATGGCTACAACCAACCCCCTTTCCACTTTTACCAGTTATGCTCGACTACTCGGAATTTTCAGATATGCGGAAATTTCCGAGTATGCCGGTTAGTTAAGCTTTTACTGTTAAAGGATGGCTGCATGAAGAAATTTTCCATCTTCTGATTTCAGAAAAGCTCCTTTTTTTTTTTTTTTTTTTTTACCTATTTTTGCTTAAATTACTTTGCCTGCAATATCTGTTAAAGGAAAACTGTTATACAATGAAAATTTAGAAAATGTTCAGAATTTTGATTTAAGTTATTTAAATATTAATAATATTGGAAAAATAAATTGTATTTATTTTAAGTGCCAAACAATTATAATAAATATGGTTTATTTTTATTTATTTTCTCTATTTTGAACAGAAATTTCGTCATTAAATCTTGTAATATGATTTAGTTCTGCGTAATTTTTTTTCTCTCATTGTAAACTAGTTCTGTGAATTAAACTGTTATTTAAAATTTAAAAAAGAGGAATGTAATTGTTTTGCATGGTTGAGTAATGCTCATTCTTTCTTAATTAATACCGAATTTCTCATATTTTAAATTACAAGTTTAATTTTTCTTTTAAGATCATGCAGTTGTGTATAATGTAATTAGATAGTTGTGTATAATGCATTATGTGTAATTAGACTATCGCCGGTTACTAAATGCACCTGCCTACAAAAAATGCTGTCACCACAAGCTTTCGAACACATGATTTGGGATAAACCACTTTTAGAAAAGGGGGAGAATGTAGTAACACAAAAATGTTCTTATAGTCACACTACTGCAAAAAAGTTTTACGCTGTAGATTCGGGAACTTTTGAATCCTACAACGTATATCTATATTCTCCAAAATAAAATACCGTTGATTTTTGTAATTCAGTTTTTAATCCTTAAGTAATTAACTTTATTTTAATGTTATTCATATCATTTAATGTCTCCTCTTCCTTCAAAATTTACCTTTATTAGTTAATAATACTTTCAAATTTCAGGCAATTTTTTCTTGCTTACTTGTGAAACTAATTTTAGCAGTATGATGATATGCCATCATGAAATTTAGTGCACATATTTTTTACTTATGATGATCTTATTAGTTAAATTAATTAAAAAATATCATTAAATACATTTCTTTCTTCCTTTAGCTGCAGAAAAGACTTTTTTTAAATTCCGATTGGGCAGATTTTGTTCTCAATCATCAGTGGAGAAAACAACTTCTGATATAGTTATAAAAGTAATGCTTTGGGGATATATATATCTAGTCATATATAATTGGAAAATTTTTGTGTTTGTAAGTGGTACCATAATTAATTTACCCTCAACACAGCCAATGCACACTATACAGATAGCCTGGATTTTCTTGAAACACATGGCGAAACTCTGAAAAGTCGGGGAATTTCATTCTCCTGTTGCGTAGCAACCCTGTGTATATGTTGATGTTGTAGTGCTTTAGTATTTTAGTTTTGGTTATTTTTACAGGGAACTAAATTTTACAAATTTCATTTTCAGAAGAGAATCTTCACTTCCTGTGTACCAATCATTATTTCTAAATTGTGGATCAACAGGTAGTTTCAAATAAACTTTTCATTTTAAACTGCACTCAATTCTTTGTATTAAAGTTTATAAAATAAACAAAATTGTATAGATTTTAACCATAGAATTAAAGAAGGTTCCTTATTTTTGCATGAAAGTTTCTTGTTTTTTTAATTAATATTATTGTTTTTCTGCATTTTTTGGTTATCAATAGATTTCTCATCTTTTGTGTATTTGCTTAGTTTAAATATTAAATTATCTTGCAGATAAAATTGCCATCTTATTAAATAATTATATCAAATCATTTTCTGTAGGCGCTTTTTAAACTGTAGGAAGTGTGTGGATAAATATTTCGTTATGAAGATTCACTTCCTTGTAAAAAGCTTAGGCAGAGTTTAACCTCATGCCAGTGTCGCTCTAGTCCAGTTTGGGCAACTGCTATGTGTAGAATTTGTAAAGCTCAAATTGATTTCGGGCAGAAGAAAAATTAGTGTTTCTATTTTGTGAAGCCTGAACTGAGTTTGTTTTTGCTTTAGGATATGTGTAATAAACCTGAAAAGTCGGGGATCAAAATATAAACCTTGGAGGGGCAGAGGGAAGGTGACCAACACAAGTGGGTGCAACAGTTGGGACCTTAAAGCATGTATTGTGCCTCAACTTGTATTGTAGTTATTGCATTCTGAAATATATGGTTAAGAGGTTAATGCTTATGTGCATTATTCTGAAAACTCCATAATTCGTATTTCCTTTTATTATACTCACCAATGGTAAATTGGCAACTTAATTTCAAGAGATTTAAAAAAAAAAAAATTATTCTGTTGTTCTTCCCTTCCCTAAGATATGCATTGCTGCTTCAAGTTAAATGTTATTTGGTTAATTTGATCATATTAATGATGCCAGTTAGTAGGATTTGCATTTTTCTTTTTTATTGTAATTTGAATGTTGTCATATTTAAACATGTGAAAAACAAAAAATGAATAGAGAGGTTTTTTTTTTTTTTTTTTTTTTTTCTTTTCCATTTGCTTTCCATTTGAGGCTGAGTGCCTGAGTGCCACACAGTCATAAGATCATTGAATGATCCCAAGCAAACAGGCTGGCTGTATGAGTGGTTTCCATATGGTTTCGTGTAGCTTGAATAAGAGCCAGTTTCTGTTAGAAAGTCGTCTAGAAAGACATCCCTCTCTTTAGGCAGATTTGAATAACCTAACCATTTGAGGCTGAGCATTATCTTTTTTTTAAATTAAAATAAATATTATTTTGATTGCAATTTAACTTTAGATCATTGTATATTGATTTTAAAAAATATCATTGTCAAGGGCATTGTGTGTGACATGGCCATATCCTTGATATTAATTTTTATAAAATATTTTATTCCTTTTTTTTTATTTGATAGAATGCAAAAAGCACCTGATCATTTAACAGCCTAAAAAAGTGTTATTTTCATAATTTTCTTCGTATGATAACATATTTTTGGGGGTATTAAAGTTAATGTTTCTGTTGAAAATTGTTAATTTAGGTATTTGTATTATAATAAGCTAGGAATGAAGTTTTTTAATCACTTTTTGTTTCAGATATCAGTATTGGAGAGAAGAACATACGTCAGTATATATGTGATGTTACTAGGCAGGTTCTAGGTATGTTTAATACGAAACATTTTTCAGGTTTTCTTAAATAATTTCAAAAGTTGTAATGTTGGTAAAAAGTTAAATTTTAAAATTTTGGGACTGTAATTCTTAAAAAATTTAATTTGTTGTGTTAGTAATGTAAGCTTTTGTTTCAAGTGTGGGTACCCTAATCCTAATTTTTATTGGCTTAAAGAGTGATATATTTCACAGCAGAGTAATTATTTTTACTTTGCATAGTATATATGTAGTTAATTGCAGCAAAAATGCATACATACATTAAATTTGCTGCATAATATTTTAAGTATTTAAAATGGGAAATCCATTACATATATAGATATGGTATCCATTATATTTTCTACTCCTACCTTTCACAGATTTTCGTCTGTTGTATTCACTGCAGAATAGTTTGAATGGCAAAAAAGTTAATTTCATAGCTTTGTATTATAATAAGCTTGGAATGAAGTCTTTTAATCACATCTTCTTTCAGATATCAGTATTGGAGAGAAGTAGTATTTTTGGGGAGGCCTCTCCCCCAAATATAAATTATTATAGATAAATTTGCCAGTTTATAACATGAAAAGAAATTGTGAGAAATGATGGTGACTATATGATAGATGAAGAAACATGATTTATTTAAGATACAGATATGCAGTTTTTTAAAATGACACTAACTTTTGCAATCTTCAAATAATTATAATATTTTTGTTAACATTGCATATTTTATTTATGGTACTTCTGGAGGAAGGTTTCTTTCTTGAAATATGTCGAACAGTTTTATACTGGAAAAGATAGTTTTGAAACCTGTAAACAAGAAATATGTAAATTTCTACTTTTATATAATTTATTGTTGATATTAAATATATGTGTAATCACTATCTTGAAGCTTCTGATAATAAAGATTTATTTCCTGAAAAGGTTTAAAATGTTTTATAAGATCAATTTTGTTTTAAGTATATTGAATTCAATGTATAAAAAGAATTATGAGCAAAGTAATAATTAGTGTATCTGTTATCCTTCTGTGAAAGTTGACCTTTTTTTTACTCTTAAAATCTTAAGAGAAATATTGCTTAATTTTTTTTGTGTTTTTGAATTTCTGTTATTTTGCCCATTCATTAATATGATTTATTATATTATTTAACTTTTGCAGGGCATATAACAGAATGTTGTGAAGATGATACTAAAGCTTTATTTTTAGTTATTAAAGTAAGTAATTTTTTCCTCTCTTATTGTTATATATAGTATGCATGCAGAAAAGAGGAACATATTTCTCAGTTATGAAGTATCAAAGCTGTACATTATCATACATTTTGATCATGCACATTTTCCCTTTCTTTTCCAAAATTTCGAAGTTTTTTTTTTTTTTTTTTTTTTTTTTTTTTTTTTTTTTTAATTACCAGCTTCCCATGCCTATTTTGATCATTTTTAAAGGAATTTTAAATGCAAAAAAAATTATAACTTAATATTTTTCAAAATAATCTATAAAATTTTCCTTGCTGTATAACATACAATAAACAAATATCACAAACATTGCTTATTGGCTGTCATTAAATCAAATATGCTATTCTCTTATAATAGCGCTGTTAATTTGTCTGTTGTAACAGCATTCTAGTTTTCAAAGTAAGGATCTTTCAGTAAATTGTTTTTTAAATGAGCTCTCTTTATTCAAATAACTAACATACAAGAATTATTTCTTATGTTTAAAAAACTTCTACCACAATCAAAATGAACCGGTAACAAAAGTATGTTTTTTTTTTTTTTTTTTTTTTTTTTTTAAAGTATGAAGTTGTGCATATATCTTTTCAGAGAAAATTGGTACATATTGCTGTTTAATGAAAAAGTTATGGGCCGACATTAAAGTTATAAAGGAGTTTTAGTATAGTTTAAATTTGGCATATGATTGTGATATGGATCTAGTTCCTGATATTATGTATATTACATAAGTGGAATTTCTTTCTTCTGTATCTAAAGAATGACATTCATCATGACACATGTCAGCGTTGCTCATGCCATTTCTTAAATTTCTTCATGAATGTTTTCAACTAATGGAGTATGTAATTTGTGGTTAGATATCTTATTCTTTGGTTTGCATTTTGTAACTGAGTGGCAACACCATACATGACAAGATAATCAAAATCTGTGTCTCAGAATAAAGTTAATCTGTTTCTGTTCGTTGTACAGTTATGATTTTTTTCCATCTTTAATTCCTGGATTTTTAGTTTATGTAGTTTGAAACATTGAGAAGAAAGGTGGTTACAAAATGTTTTACATATTTATGGGATTACAGCAAAAATTTGCTGCACTGATGGCATGAAGGTAAGGAAACAGACTGTGAATAGCCTTAAATTCCGTTTCTGGAGAAGGCATGATTGTTTGTAAGTGCAGTAGTGGAATGGGTCAAACCAAATGTTCTTTCAAGGAGTTAATAGAAAACATGGATGTTTGTAAGATTGTAGTGTTTTTGTGGAATGGAACACTTGAAATACTATCAAGCCAAAAGTCATCTTAAAATTATAATGGAAGGCATGGATATTTGTAAGTGTATATTATTTTTGTAGCATAGGATACTTGAAATACTGTCGAGCCAGAAGTCCTCTTCAGCGTTGATAGAAAGAGAAGAAGGGTGGGAGACCCTCAGATCTGTCTCTTGAGGGATTCTCCTTCAGTATTGCCACAAAGTTGAACAATTTTGTGTTATCACCTGTAAGGTGCCCAATATCTAATCCAGTAAAAGGCATAAACCTGTGTTTTTGGTCGGAACTAACCCAAGCATCCATTGCAAATCATTGCATATCTGATGTTACTTATATGTTATCTGATGTCAGACTAGTGAGATAAATCACAACACAGCAACAAAATCTGTTAACATAATTACTAAGAGCGATCTCTCATAAATTTGAGCCCATTCTGTATTTTGAGAACTTTTACCTATCAGCTGAACTGTGTCGGTAAACTACTAGAGAAATTTTGTCAGCAGTATATTTCAATGCAGATTTCTTTCATATTGCAGTTTTTTCTGAGGCAAAATTATTTTGTTATAGAATTATATCTCGGTATTGTTAAAAAAAGTCAAATATGTATTCAGATTTCTTTGGAATGAGTTGAATACTGAAGGCCTTTATTTAAGTTATTGTAATCTTATGAATGTGTATATCTGAATATGTTTAGGTGAAATGTCTTAAGCATCTGTTTATGTTTTATTTTTATTTCTAGTTGTTCAATACCTTGATGTTCAACTGGGGAATAGAAAAAGATGAACTCGACACCAGGAGGAAAGCTTTTCGAGTTGTTAAAAATGCTCTTGAAAATAAAGTAAGAACCTTTTACTTTAAAGTTTTCTTTGCAGATGTATTCAGTAATAATTTACAGTATTTTTTTTGGGGGGGATACATTGAATATTATTTTAAACTGTTTATATATATGCACACACACACTCAAAGCTTAAGGTACATGCTTGTATCTTTAAATGTTTTGAAGGCAGGAAATGAATGTACAGAAATAGTTATTTTTGACATAGTGATGAAAATTTTAATATGATGCGAGACATGTACTATCTCAGTGATTATCAGTCACTGAGAGATTCCTCCATCCAAGGGATACTTTTCATGGTCTTAAGGTGGAATCTTTTTAAACCTTATATTTATAATTTTTGTGTGAAAAAGTTAATGGCTAAGGTATTGATCAGCTAAGGTATTGATAAAATCATGAGAATCCGGAAGGTTTGAAAACAAAACTTACGTATTATGTTAAGTGCGGTGAAATTAATAAAAATGTTTTAGTTATGCCTGTTATCTTTAAATATCATAATATAATCAATACATTGGTAAACATATAAATAATATTTATTATTTATAATGAGTCTTAAATTCATACTAATGTTTATAGCATATTAAAATGCAACTTTTCAGTTTTGTTTATTATTTGAAATGTAGCATCTTAAAAAAGAAAATGATGATGGTGAAATGATATTCTCATGTCTGGTAAAGAAGGAAATGGAACAACAAATAAAGTTTACTATCTATTATCTGGTATAGAAAGTACCACTCGTTTGTATATGAAGACATGGAAAAAATATATGATTGACTATTCAGTTAATTTGATCAAAATGTTATACATTTTTTTTAACTGAAGTAAAGTCAATAAAAAGTGTCTAATAATAAATTTAATATATTAATATTAAATAACATATTTTAGTTATAATAATTCAGTAATCATATTATTGTTATTATAATTCAATATATTTTAGTTAACCATTTTAAAATAAGACAATAAATAAAAAGTCTGAAAGCTTTCCTATTTTATATTACACCCAAAGCGGCCTTTTTTTTTAAATGTTTTGTGTGTTATGTTACCTTTATTTATTAAATATTGTGTTCTTTGAAAACCATAAAATTCAGTTCAACAACAATATCACAAGATAACTTAAAAAAAGCATATCTTTAGAATTTCCGATTCACAGTATCGTGAGCTGGAGATAAAAAATTTTCTTTCCCTGTACAGTGTTGCCATTGCTCGCTTTGAAATCATTGAGTTTGTTCATCAAAAATTCATTAAAGTTTTAGAAAAAAAATATTAAATAGATAATAAAACAAATTCCAAATTTGGGCTTCCATTTGCCTATATTCAAGTAGAGGACTACATTATTCTTGATGTCTGTTCTTAAGTGCCATTGTTTTTTTTTCACAGTGCAGGAAACATACATACAATTATTACTTCATTATTTAATTTCTTTAAATATGATGCAGTGGCTCTAATATTTAGCGGCAATAATTTGAAAAGTGAAATGCCTTTTATAGTAAACCGACACAAAATGCCAGAACGAAATTAATAACCCTTCTGGGCCAATGCCCTTTGGACTAAAAACTCTGTTTGACGTAGATTTTTACCTCTATCAATTTAGAGGATGATCAGGCATTTGACTCTCGTCTACAGTGGCAAAAAATTTTTTTGTACAATATTTTTTCCTCTGAAAACATCTACATCAAATTAAAGTAACTTTTTTGCCTAATTTTAAATTTTACATGTTCTCTTCCAGTCAAGGATGCCTTCGGAGTATTAAGATTAGTGGCACAGCATCAGTTAAATAAATTCTAGAATCTTCAGGGACAGTTCATAAATAAACTTTTTTCCTAATTAAAATGCTATAAAAGTACCTTCTAGTTGTATTTCTGTCAAATTAGTTAAATTCCATTGCTATTTTGTAAGATATTTTTTCACATCATTCAATGTTATGAACACAGCCATCACCACCAAATGTAGTCACATTAAATGGCATTGTGTCATTTTCACATGTTCTTCTCTGAACATCGATTACAGTGGGCCAATTAGAATATAAGTGAGTGATGAATAATCATTTTCTGTTTAAAGAACTAAAAATTTAAATCTTTTGAAAGAATAGGAATTTAAAATAAAATTATAATATTATTTAAATGTATTCATTTTGAATTACATTTTTTGTTATCTGGTTTAGTAATTGGAATATTTATTCTTTTTATAAGACAGTTAGTTGTATGTAGATTTTAAACTCTGGGATATTAAAAAGCTTTTGTTGATTAATGTTTATGTTTTATGTAGTTTTTATTGATTAATGTAAATGTTTCATTCCTTAGTTATTTGGAGAAAAGAAACATATTCGCTCTTTGCTAATTGATCGAACTCATTTACAACACGAGGTAAGTTTTTCATTATTATCATTTTAATGAAATGTTTTATTTCTTCTTTATCTGAATTGAATGTAATTGCAATGTCATGTTTTATTTTACAGCTACGAATCACAGAAAGGTACAAAATATATTTTACTGAAACTCATAAGATGATAATGAGAGACTTGCTACAACTTTCCACCAGCCATTACAGTGAAGTGTGTTTTGATTTTTTTCCTATCTCTGAAAAACAAAAAAATTTTTAAGTATTAAATATATGTGATTTAATTATATTATAATCAAAAGTGTATGTGTTATATTATTTTTATTCATATCATTTATATGACATTCTACATTGATTTTTTTTTTCTCCCTTTGCAAGTTGATAAATAAAGTAGATTCCCAATTAGCCATAATACTAGTACTATATCATTATGGTTAACTAAAAAAAAAGTGATCTGAAAGGAGTTAAAGAAACACGGGAAGGGGCAACCCATATTATAATTAACAGAAACATGCTATTAACAGTTTGTTCCATTTTTAAATAATTTAATCTGGAAAAGAACTTTGATTGAGTATGTAAGTTAATGTTTTCAGAATTCTTTGTGATTGTGAACAATCCACAGGCAAAGAACATTTAACCATGCCACAATGATTGGTATAGTGGTTAGCACTGCTGGCTGTCATATGGTTGGACCTGGGTTCAAATCCTAAAAAAAAGACTTGAATTTTATTAAGTATATATCATCTTTATGACATGGGGCACACAGCAAGTGGAAAGTCTAGTTTGGTGGTAAGGAAAGAGGGATAGGAGATCCTTGGATTCATTTTCCCATAGATCAAAATTGGGATGAAACTGGGCAAAGCATAACTGTTATTTACAAGATACTTAAGGCTCATACCAATGACAAATACATTCCTGTGCTCCTCTGCGTGATAAAATTTATGGACTTGATCTGATGGTACTGTCAGACAAGTGAGATAAGTCACGTTAACAACAATGCAACATTTAAACACATGCTGTATATTTACTTGTTCTGTAACTCAGAACTTTTGAGAAACAAGGAACTGAATGTCAAAAGCTAGGCATCTATAAATAAATAATGTAATCCTAATGATATTTAGGGAGAATTTTGGAAAACATCTGCAGAACCTTTTATAATGATTTTTTAAAATTTAATATGTGTGTGCAGGAATTTTGTAAATTTATTGGAAGCTACAGACTTTTATGAATTTCATTTTTCTTTCACTAGTTAATATATGATTATTTAGATCAGAGTTTCTTAAACTGTGGAGCCCACCAGCGGCCGAGCGGTAAAGTCGCTGAACACTGGTAGTTCGGTCCGAGGTTTGAATCCCACGAATGGGGACTGGCTGCATGGGTGTTTTCGTGGTTTTCCCCATGTGTAACGTGTATACGAGCCAGTTTCCCTTAGTCCTCCGTGAAGGCATCCCTCCCCTTAAGCAGTTAGGCCTCGAGGCTTTGCCGTAATTAAATACCTAACCTTAAACTGTGGGTCGCGACCTTCATGAGGGTCATGGGAACTGCAGCAGGGGGTCGGCAAAAATTTTAGCAATTTTGATATTTCTTTGAATTATAATAATAATTTTACAATTACCAAATATTTTTACACAATGTATAGGAAAATAGATAAAAATAAGACAATATAGACAAAAAAAAAAAAAAAAAAAACCACTTCGGCGCATTCTTTTTATGATATAAATGTTCATTTTACTTGCTTTGCATGTGGTGTTGTCATTTCGTCTGTTACTTATTTAAAATTTTTCACATTGTTCTATGTCTTAAAATTAGAAATTAAGGTTAATGACCTAAAACTGCAATAGTATATTACAGTACAAGTGAAAAAAATTAATGGTTTTACTCAAGCGTGTGTCGGATTTGCGCAATGCTTAAGTGTCCCACAAAATTTTCATAAATTTGGGGTCCTGGGCTTGTGAAAAAAATCTCAGTGATAAAAAGGAGACGCGACTGAAAAAAGTTTAGGAAGCCCTGATGTAGATTCATTAAATTAGTATGTATTAATGAATCTTATGATATTTGTTAAGGAAAATGTATTCCTTGTTTCTGATTCATGTTTTCTTGTTTTAGGTACGCAGTCGTGCTCAAACTGCTTTGCAAAATTGTTTGACTTGTTTTCATTCTTCGTGTAGTGTTATTTTCTCAGATGTTTTAGATTTGCTACAGAAAGACCCAACGGTTTGTCATGAAGAGTTTAAGGTTTGTTATATTTAATTTATTTAATTTTTTTTATATATTTTGAAGTGTGTATAAATTTTGTGTGTTATTTCTTTAATTTCTTGAGTGATATTGATGATTTCATGTGTTTATTTTCCTTTTTCTTTGTTTAAGTATGCCCTTCATATTTTTCTTCCAGTTTGTCTTAAACTTCACATGGGGAAAAATTTCCCCTTTAAAAATAGAATTAAAATTCTTTTAAACTTAACAGTTTTTTTTTTTTTCATTCAGATTAATTGACAATATCTAGTAGAGATGGACAAATGAAATTAAATGTAGTCTCTTTTCATAAAAAGTGGAGTAACTTCCACCCCCCCCCCCAAAGAAAAAATTAATATTATTCAACCCATTTGTTTGTAGCAATTTCAGTGTTGGAATTATTGTTCTTTCTGTAGTACTGTCACAAAATAAAATTAAGTAGTAAGTGGGGGAGAATTGTAATCTGAAAATAGAGTACAATCTAACATCTTGAAGAGTTTCAAGAAGATATATACAAGTATATATATGTAAGAAAAATAAAGAATATGTAAAAGATTAAATTAGCAGTGTAAATTAATTTTCCTTCCCTATTCTAAAAAATGGTAATCTCTCTGTGCTGTGTCATTTCAAGATTAATCCATGTCATATGACTCTTACATAATTCTGATGATGTAAATGGAACAGAAATTCAAACAGCCAATAGTAATTTTACAGCAGTATTAATTATCCAATCAAAATGCATTGAGAACCAAAACTAACTCAGTCTGAATTAAGATTTCACCATGAACATAATGTACTTGCTTTTTTACGCTTTGGCCTAGCTGGACTGCAGTCTGTCTGCTCCTTCTATCATAGTGCAAATTTATCTAAAATGTAATCTTTTTTAAATAGGCACAATTAATGCGCTAACTTGATTGTGGCCACAACATGTTTATTGAAATAAAAGTTGAATTAAATATACCTTGAATGCTAAATTTCTTATTCATTGTGGTTTGTCATTTTAGCATTCTACGACATCAAAATTCTCTCTGTTCGTTACAGATTGAACCACCTGCGTTCTACTGCAGAATCTATTACATATATAGAGAATGAGATTAAAAAGAAATTTGAAACATATATGCTGATTCCAGTTTCACATCTGAAGCAGTTTTAAGCTAAGCATCTATGATATGCATGTTACAAATTCATCTTCCAGAAATTAAAAAAAAATAAATAAATAAAATCTTTATGAACTCTTCAAAATAACGAAACAAATGGTAGGGAAAACATTTAATAGCATTTAGTATTTGATTTAATGTTATATTTGATTGCTATTTAATGCCATGTGAAGACTAGTGCATTTCTTTAATAAGGAAATTTAATTATTCGAGACATAGTTGTGCATATATTCCAGTGGATCTCTTCTGTGAGAGTCTTGCAATGAATATATTCCTGTGAAGTGACAACACCTTTCGTCAGAACATCATATCTGCTCATTGGAAACAATGTATGTCTTGAAAAAAGTTTCATATGATGTATTTAATTATTTCACTATTGGCAAAATAACAGATGAAAAGCAGATAATTGTACATTAATAGAATAATCGAATAAAATTTGGGTTAATAAATATTCAGGAACTAATTCTAGAAAAATATACTAAATTTAATAAATTGCTTTTACTCATGTTTACGTAATTGCTTTTTTAACTTTTTTACTCAGTTTTTGTTTTATTTAATGTGTGATTTTTCTTTTTAGGGTGTGTTATATGTAATCCTTGGACAGAAACAGAATTCTCTTTTGACTGTCTGTAATTGGGAAAGACTGAGTCAGTTATGGCCAGCAATTGTTGCGTCAAAACACTCAGAGAAACCATCTATCATTAAACTTCTAGATTCTATTTCTGCTAGTATACAAAAATACTTTCCAACTGCACAAATAAAACTTAAAGTATGTAGATTTGGATTGTTTTAAATCTGTAATATAAAATATGTACTTGAAACTTTATAAACTGCATTAAATGTTGAATGAAATAACTGTAGAACAGTTTAATTAAAAAAAAAAAAAATTCTGTTTCTTCAACTACCACGCAATATAGACTGCTTTAGGCTTTTTTGTGTCTGCTGTTGTAAAAAGTGTTACTTTCATTTTATCTTCTGCTGGTTATGCCTATCTTTACAAAAGTGTGTTTAACATGAAAAGAATGTTGGAAGTCAGAAAAGAGCATATTGAAGTTATGAAAGCATTTCATTTTTCAGTGCTAATGGAAATTGAGGACATTATTTTTGCAATCCATACTTCAAAGCCAAAGAGGTGTTTTTCATGATTGCCAAATACCAATTCTGGTTTTTTGTTCTTATAAATGAAAACAACTTTTCTGGAAATGAAATCATTGGGTAGTAATGTTATCCTTTCAGGGTACAAAATTCTTTATTGGTTTTTTAAAACATTACCAAATTCTAACTTATTGTTATATCCCTGGAAATGAAAGAACTGATTCTGTTTCCAAGAAGGCTTGTGGGCTCTTTCATTCCATTTCCTCAAATCTTTTATTACCTGGCTTGTTCTGTGACTGGAATTAGTCATTCATTCCTGTTTTGGTGATGTGCCTCACTTTGTGCCTGGAGAAAATTTTAAACTTTTATTTTGCATTAGAGTTTCAATACGACTTGTATCTTACTAGTGTTAACTGTTTCTCCAAACTGTACTCTGTATACTTTAAAAAAAACCGGATTTTTAAGTACCATTTGGAGTGTAAAGTAGGGCTTGTTTTTGCAAAGAATTTTTATCATTAGCTGACTTCTATATTGATGTTGGCTTTTTTTCAACATTTGTTGGCAATGGGATTTCTTTATACTTATTTGTTCATTGAAAGACAACTGTCTTCAGAGACCAATTAACAGAAACTGGAAGCTAAGACAATTATGTTATGGAAGGCTCCTTCCTCTCTGATTATTTTCCCCCCAGTATGACAGATATCGCTGCTGTTACATTAAATGATCAAATAATTTAATACTTTTTCATTTAAAGTTATATTTATTTATTTTTTAAACTCTTACCTCTTTATGTGTGTGGTTTTCATGCTTCATTGTTTGTTGTTACATAAAGCATAAGTTCATGCACTTAAAGCACATCTCTATTTTTTCTTTGGAAGTTAGGTTAATTGATCTCTACTCATTTTTTTGATAGAAATTAGAAAGAAGTAAACTTAAAAAATTCTGTGCTACTTCTAGTTCTATAAAACCTAGGAAGTGAAAAAGTATATAAAATTTTACATATTTTAAATACTATAGAACAAGGGTTCCTAAATTTTTTGGCTCAGGGAGCTCTTTTTGGAATCAGTCTGGCTTTGATGGATCCCCTTAAGGCCTACTGTATATCTTACAAGTTAATATTGTTAGGAGGAGGATGAGGAGATCAATAGTAAAGGAATGCAAAGACATGTTTAAACAACAGTATAATATCCATGCAATGAAATGATTTAAAATTTTTGAAATTTATAATAATATCTCAGTTTAATTCTCACTTACTAACCAGTACCTATGGTTTTGTCAAATGCATAGTTCCTTTATCTTTTTTGGTTCATTTCCCAAAACAAAAATAGAGACTTTTTTTCTGCTGATTGTCGACTCTGTGTTTGTTCAACATACCTCTCCCCTTCTAACAGTGATGTGTTAGGAGCTTTATGAATATAGTCTGTAGCAGTAGTAAATGAAAATGCTTAAAAATTTTCAGGTATTTTTTGTATTTGCTCTTCATCAAATTGTGAACTAAAAATCCATTGTGCAGTTTGGAAACAAAGTAATGATTAAGCATCTGAGAGCATTCATAGATCTAACAAACATTCCTATCGCAGCATGCACAGCGGTACATATTTGGAGAACATGGTTACTTGTATGCAGTGGATATCATTGGATATCACATTTGTGGTTATGTTTTTAAAATATTAGATTAATACTTTATAACTTTGTTCCCTTGGATTAAAAAAAAAAAAAAAAGAATTAACCTGTATGCAACAACCATCATATATAGAGGAGGGATTCACTGATATAAAGAACGTAATTCTTGTTAAGGGGCAGGACTTTAATTTTTTTATAATCAAATGGCTGTTTAAATGCAGAATACATTACTTTTTAAATTTTTAAAAACAATTTTTACAAATTTTTAAAAAATGCATACAGAAAGCTAACAAATTTTCCAAGCATGCTCTCATTACCCTCTTGCTTTCCACTCCCCCCAGTTCTCCTTGGTGCTCACTGATGAGCAACATTGCTGATGTCGGGAAACAGTGCTGTAGGAGGACTTGGAAGCTCTCATGAAAATGAAAGCTTGGAGCAAGTGTCCTATCTAACCGTATGCAAATCAGGTCTTTGTTGTTTTAATCATATTCACAAGCATATTTAAATTCTGGTTGTACCTGAAGCTGTGATCCATTCATTTCTTTCACAAATGATCAGAATACTCTTAGAATCAGCAAACAGTTGTGTGATGTGGCTTCATTATCTAATATCACACAATTTAACATATTATTTCATTCAATAGTTTTTGGATCTCACCTGTGTATTGCATATCTGCTAATACGTTCTGTAAAAGTTCTGCACAGTTTAAGATCTGATTTGTGGTAAACTATTACCATACACTAATGTTTCTTGTTGGATGTAGCTATTTTTATGTCAGATGGTGTTCAGTTTTATAGTTGATAAGAATCCCAAGAAATATGTTGTAATAATTATTTTAAATCCACTGTATATAAAAAGTAATGTATTATGTGTAACCGCTTTTATATAAGGAAAGTGCATTTTACTTGGAGAAAATTACAAATATGAAATTATGTTGTCAATAGTGATAAAAATTATTATTTCTTATAGGTACCTAGCAGTTGCATTGAACTAGTCAAGTGTTTTTGGAATAGTACTGTACCTTATCCAACTGCCCCATACCTTTCAGAAGAAGAAATTCGTCAAGCATCTGTAGAATTAGCCATACGAGGTGAAAAAAATGAATGGTATGTTGATATTAAAACTTTTCATAAAAACTTGTGTATAATGTTTTGCGTATGCATAGAATTGCTTTTTTTTTTTTTAATTTATTTTTTTAAAAAATGGTAATTTAATTTATCTGGAATGCTGTCTAACATATGAATGGATTATGTGTGGTTTAGTTTCTCAGATCAGTAACCTCAGTTAAAAGATAAATCAATAAATAATTTGCAGCTTGAATACCAGTACTTTTCTGTGTAAAAATGTTCCAGAAGTGTAATTTATTGTATTATTGGATATTTAATTTTAAAAGCAAAATTTATCAGAATTATTTTGTGAAGTTATTTAACTAACCATGTGCTCTTCTTAACCCCCTTTTTAGGGTGGTTGAGAAGTCTTATTTTTGTGTGTTAAATTAGATTCATGTAACACAAAAATTGAATAAGCAAGGCATATTACGCTATCTTTTTAATGCAATGCTATAACTTGAAGTTTTTAATTGTCTGAAAATAACACTTGAGGAAATAACTCTAGTAATATATTCCTGTAAAAATAACAAACTTAGGACTAGGGGCATTTTTGCATTTGAACAGTTCAAATTGTACACACAAAATTTATGGTAATGACACAGACAGTGGTGGCCAAAATTGTGGACACTTTTGGAAATTTTTAAGTTTTTGAACTTTATATGCTTATAGAAAATATTACATTTTGCAAAATGCAAATTTGTATATATCATTTTAAAGCGAATTTATTACTGAATTCAATACAAAACACAAAATTCAATTATTTGCAATATAAAAAAAGTTATATGTACTTTAATATAAATAAAAAACACAGTTATGAAGTGGTTTGTAATGTCTAGCTTTCCTGGCCAATCACTGTTCTTGTTCTGAGAACCAATCAAATGTTAGTAACTGCCAGTAGAAGCTGCTGACATCATGTTACACTTGAAAAACAGTTCATTATTTTGCTTTGTTCTGTAGAAGGAGGACCTGTTTTCTTATACACTGCAATTACAAGTAGGAATTTTTGTAAAAATTTTTAATATTTAGTCAAGAAGCAATGACATCAAATAAGAGAAAAGATTGGACACCTAGAAAGAGATGTAATATTATTGTGTTACGAGAAAGTGGTCTTTCCTATGCTGAAATTGCAAGACAGGTGAGTGGTTCAGTGACTACATCTGGAGTCCGAAAGTTTTGTTTATGATATCAGGAGACAAATTCAATAAAAAAACAAAGAAGGAAAAGGCTGAAAAAGTTGCACCACATCTATTGATGACGGAAGAATAAAAGGACTATGTCTCCAAGATAGAAAAATGTCATCAGCGGCCATCAGAAGTGATTTGGATGATGCTGGTGTTTCTCTCAGTTCAAGAACAATCAGGACAAGATTAACAGATGTTGCACTGAGAGGTAGAATTCCACGAAAAAAGCCTTAATTTTCCGCAACGAAAACAAAGACTACAATGGGCAAAGGAACACATTAATTGTACAGATGATCAGTGGTCACAAGTTATATGGAGTGATGAAACTAAGATATCGTTATTCGGTAGTGATGGGCGAAAATATGTAAGATGTAGAATAGGAGAAGAGCTACATCCTGACTGCATTCAAGCAACTGTGAAGAACCCCAGTTAGTGTTATGATTTGGTCATGCATGTCAGCAGATGGTATTGGTCGCCTTCATGTCAACGATGGGACACTGAATGCCAGAAAATACATTGACACTATTCTAGAACCAAAACTTCTACCTTCCATCAGAGATCTCTTTCCCAACAATGCTTCGTTTATTTTCAGCAGGATTTTGCTCCTTGCCACACGGCCAAAATATCGAAAGAGTGGTTTCGTACAAAGAGCATTAAATTGTTGTCATGGCCAGGAAACAGTCCTGCCCTCAATGCTATCTAAAATTTGGAGCACCATTTGAAAACTCTTGTTCGAATGAGGTGCCCATCAAATAAAAGGGAACTAAGTGAGGCTATAATTGTTTTCTGGCATCATGTAATAACGAAAGAAGAGCTTAAAACTCTTGTCAGCTCAATGAAACGTCGATATGAAGCTGTAATCAAAAATAAAGGGTACCCTACTAAGTACTGATAACTCGCTGCAATCATCACTATCTAATGTATATCAATAACTATTGTTGTTTAACTTTTTTGTATTGCAAATAATTGAATTTTGTGTTTTGTATTGAATTCTGTAATAAGTTCTCTTTAAAATGATATATACAAGTTTCCATTTTGTGAAACGTAACATTTTCTATAAGCATACAAAGTCCAAAAACATAAAAATTTCTAAAAGTATCCACAATTTTGGCCACCACTGTATATCCGCAGCTATAAAAATATGTAGTAAACTGGAGTCTAAAATAAAATGAGAAAAAAAAAGTATGATAATTGATGTATTGTTGAATTTTTTCATAATGAATAAAATAAAAAAGAGAATAATTCAAAATGCATGATGCAAACAAGAAGAGGAGAAAGGCAAATGTTGTATAAACTTAGATGCTTAAAAAATTTGGTATATGAATGTAAAAAAATGTCTGGTTGGTAAATAATTTAAAAAAAATATATATCTCGTGGCCAGCAGATGACCTTCTGCCAATTCCATGTTTTAAATAGCAACACAAATTAAGCATATTTGTTCCAATAAGAAAGATAACAGATATCTGTAATGCAAAATTTTTGATTATGTTTTATTGAGTATAATTGGCCACATATAAAAACAGGTTTTTCTGATTTTATACCAATACAAAATCAAATGTCTACTCTTTTTTTTTAATTAAAAATTGTCTTTTATTAGGTAAGTAAATAGCATCTAATTAATTTAGTTACATCTTAATTAAAGAAAATTAGTACATGTTTATGATATATTTGAAATAAACTCTTTGAAACAAATGCCATAATTTAATTTTGTGTGTAATTTTCATTGGATTGATAGATCTAAATTGATTTTGATCTGCACATGAATCCCCTTGATATTCAGGCATCAAATAAACAATAATTATTAAACTGCAGCATTATGTTATGATTTATATAAGCAACAATATATTTTGTTGATTACTGCAAAACTGTTATAGATCTATGACTACTTCAGATTATCTATTTTCAGCTGTCACCTCTGCTTGTCCAGTGTTACTCAAAATCTAATTAATTCTGTATATGAATGCAAACTGCTTAAATTCAAAAAATAGAAATTTTTGGAAGTTGCAAAAGTTATGGTGGATGAAAAAAGTCACATAGACAGGCAGATATCACGGTAAAAATGTGTTGGACTCTAATTTATGCTCTCTGTTGAATATTTGGACCAAAAACATAACATAGACATTAAGCACATAAATAAATATCCCACTCCAAAAAATAGTTTTTATTATTTTTTATTATTCTTGTGTGCAGTTTTTATCTTAAATAAAACCATTTCTGTTAATTTTTCCCATAATATTTTTCTCTTTCATAGCCTTCCAAAATACAAAATTGTTTCATTAAAGTTATCTGTTAATAATTTCAAGTCTATCCAGAAAAACATTCTGCAGTTGAGTTACTGCTTTTTAAAGTGAAATATGTTAAAATACTGTTTGGATTTATAATTTTCTTTTTTATTTCTAGCAATTATTTCAAATCGATCCATAATTTAACAGATCTTTTGAAAAATGGCAATTTGTAAGTACTATATCATTTATTTGTAATGCAAAGGAAGATTTACTTTATTACTGCGTACACTTTTTATAATCGGTATTGTTTTAATGTTTAGGCATTGGAGGCATTACCATTTGGCTTTATCGATGCTAGCCATTTTAGTTAGGCATGATATTCGTTTCCCTAAGGAAGGAGTTGAATTGTTTGTAGCTCATCTTATTCATGATACTCTTGCAGTTAGAAAGGTAATGGATTAGTTTAATAACATATGTTTTAAGATCATGCTTGATCCATTTTATGTATGACAACATTTGAAATTATTTTTAAACATAGTATTATGAGTGTGAAATCTTTTGTTCTGAAGCCATTATACATGTAGTTTAAATGCTTAATTATTTTATGAAAAATCTAATTTTTAATTTAATTTGTTATGGTTTTATCAGGTTGTCTGGAAAATAATGCAGGTTTCTGCAATTGTTTATCTTTCCTGTACATTTTTAGCAACAATGTATTTTGAATTGCACTGGTTTATATATCATTTCGAAGCTCTATTGTCGCTCTATATTTCTATAATAATCATTTTGTTCCCAAATTATTTAAAAAAAATATTTACTAGGTATTTTTGTTTTGATGTCAAAACGGGATTTTCAGCAAATTTACATTTATGAGTACAAACTAGGCCGCAGCGCAGCACAAACAGCTCGAAAATGTCAACGAAGTATGGGGCAAGAAATGTGTTAATGAATCTACAGTTTAACGAAGATACCAAAAGTTTCGTCATGGGGAATTTGATCTGGAAGATCAAGAGCGTAGTGGACACTCTTCAGCTATTGATGACGACGATTTGAATACTGTTGAAACAAACCCTTTGCACAACTGTTCGAGAGCTTACGGAGGAGCTTGGCACAAGCAAAACAACGATTTCTAATCATTTAAATCGAATAGAAAAGTCAAAGAAGCTCGATAAGTGAGTGCCTCACAAATTGAGCCAAAATAAAAAATAAAAAATCGCTATTTTGAATAGTCGTCTTCTCTTCTTCGCAACAAAACCGATCCTTTTCTTGATTGAATTGTTACGTGCGATGAAAAGTAGATTCTCTCTAACAACTGGTGACATTCAGCTTTGTGGTTGGACCGCGACACCACAACACTTTCCAAAGCCAAATTTGTACCAAAAGAAAATTATGGTGACTATTTGCTGGCCTGCGCCCGGTCTCATCCATCACAGCTTCTTAAGTCTGGGCGAAACGATTATGGCAGATAAGTACTGTCAGCAAATCAACGAAATGAACCAAAACTTGCTATGCATGTGCTCGGCATTGGTCAACAGAAAGCTGCCAGTTCTTCTCCATGACGATGCTCGGCCGCACGTTGGGCAACTGACCCTATAGAAATTGAATGAATTGCGATATGAGATTCCCCTCTTCCTCCATATTCGCTTGACCTCTCGCCGACCGATTACCACTTTTTCAAACATCTTGATAACATTATTCAGAAGAAATGCTTCAGAAACCAAGAGGAGATCAAAAACGCCTTTGACAACTTTATTGCGTCCAGAGCTCCAGAATTTTATTCTACCAGCATAAATAAACTAATATTTCATTGTCAAAATGCATTCATTCAGCTGGTGCTTATTTTGATTAATAAAATTGCTTTTGAGTTGAGTTATGATACTTTAAAGATTTAGGTTAAAAACCTGCATTATTTTCTGGACTACCTAATATTAACTTAACCTGGTATAAGCTGCGATTCCAAGTTAAATATCATGTTTACTTTTATGTAACTTGCATAGATATTATATTAGTTATTAAAATTAGCTGTCAAGCATACGGCCTCGTATTCAGATCTCTATTAACCCTTTCAGGACGGGCGGCCGATATACGCATTCCCTAAGAACATCTCTTACAGCCGGGCATCCCATCCATGCATCAGTAAAGATCGCATTCAGAAGACGGGTGATGCGTATATGCATTTTAAGGTGGAACGTTTTTCTGAAGGCCACTAGATGGCATCCTGTGCCCATTACTTTTGAAATGAACACAGTTTTAGGTTCCTGGCCTTGAGTTTGATATATTCTGCTTGACTTGATTGGTATTTTACTCATCAGCTGTTCGAGAGTTGGGGGGGGGGCTGAGGGAAAGCGTAAACAGAGGTGGGCTTTTTAAATCGCTGCGTGCTAATGTAAACATTCTCGTATCTGATTTATATCCAATTCCTTTTTTTTTTATTTTATTTTTTCCTTTACTATGCACGGTCTTTTAGGGTTAGTATGTGGAGTATTGTTACGTTTTGCATTGCCTTCAGATATATTTCCGTTTCTTCTCTTTTTATTTCGGAAAGCCTCACCTCCAGTCTTCTATGGCGGGAAGGTGCTATTTATCAGAGGAAGAATACCCTAGTGTGGTTAGTGAACCATTTACTAATGCAAATGAGAGTACTGATTCATTTTCTAAGGAGTTAAAAAGTGATACTTTTTCTAAGAGTTACAAAGTGATACTTCTCTGTGCTTCGAGATATACCACACTTGTTTTCATTTAAAATTTTGTTACTTATTACTGTAAATAGTCTTTATTGTGTTCTTTTTATTAATTTTAAACTTTTATTGATGGATTGATTTTATCAATTAAAACTTTGGAATAATTTGAATAGCGCTTCCGAAAATTATGTTATAAGATAAGTAATTTTTTAAGTATATTTTCATGTAAAATAAAGAAAAAAATGTTTTAAGGGCTAATTTTAACATATATAAGAACTCAAGTAATAATCTAAAATGATACCCAAAATTACGATGCTGGAAGCGAAACTTTTGTTTTTCTGGTTTTTGTTATAAAATTAGGCTTAGCGATGCAAAACCTCCGTCTTGTACGGTGACTGCCTTTGATTCTCTCTCGTCCTGCACGAGCGTCTTAAACAAAGGTGCGCCATCGTGAAAAGGTTAAGCATGATGTTGAATTATATTGTGTTTCTGTGAAAATGTAGAAACTTAAAATCCATTGATAAGGATATTTTCTAGAGAGACTGGTGGTGGGAGAACATATGAGATCTTAAGATCCCGTCCTCTGGTTGTTCTCATTTAAAGTAGGACAGGGAAGCCATGCATAAAATCATTCTGTCATCATTGATACTCAAGGCCTTTGACAAACCACAGACACAATCATTAATCCTGTTTCTGATTATTCATTGAAGCTTTTTATAACCCAGATGTGGAGAATAAGAACAGCTCAGATATATAAATGAGAGTAGTATTGGCTGAGTGTTGGAAATTTGGACACAGCAATTTTATTATTTATGTACTGTGTTTCCAGAGTTCTAGAAATTGAATTCTAGTTAAATTCCTAGAATTTATATTCAACACTATTGGCCAGAGACAGGTCTTGACATGTTTATACAGCTGTTCCATGCAATGTCATTTCATCTGTTTCAATTGTTTAATTGATATAGAAGTATTTTTGTGGTGCTGTTTTTGCAACCATGGAAGATGCAAGGAGCAATAGTTTTCTTTTTTTCTTTTTTTTTTTTTTTTCCTTTGTGTGTGTGTGTGTGTGAAAAAGAGTGTGAAAACTTCAGAATTTCTTCAACATCAGTGAGGAGTATTCTTCTGTTCCAACATTTGAAAAAATTGTTAGGGAGTGTTCAATTAGATTTTACCATGTGATAAATAGATGATCAAGAAGGTACCAAAAAAGTTTTTTGATGATAGCTTTAAAAAATAATGAGTTTTCTTTGGGATAAAAAAAATAATGAGTTTTCTTTGGATTTTAATGTCACATCCCAGTATATCCTTAGGACATCCTATCTAGGTCCCCACTGACAGCGTATGAGATGTTATCAGGATTTGAAATACTAGTTACAATATCCCTTTAACCTCTTAAATATATACTCTCAACTGCTTAATACCCAGTATATATACAAAGAAACTTCCACTGAAGGTGCTGTGATTGTCTAAAACCTACTTATTTTACACAAATAGTCTCGAATCCTTCTCCTATGGTTACTATGGAAAAATCAGAAATGTTGAGAATATTTATACAACTTATTTTGTTTTTAAAACTGAATTTGTGAATGTATTAAAACTGAGCAAGGAAATTAAAATGAATTAATAAATACAAAATATTGTAAAAGAAAATTTTGCTTTTATTTTTAAGATATTAAAAATCTTTTGATCATTTTTAAACATCCAATAGCTGCCAAATTGAAGTATTCATAATTAAATTATTTTACAAAATCAGTTTCTAATTTCAGTTAAAATTGTATTAAAAATTCAATAATAGAATTAGCCATTTAATAATCTTTCTTTAAAACTTGTAAAGAATTTTTAGTGCTTTGTGACTGAAAAATTGTTAAAAGGAATAAATTGTATTTTTAAAACTAAATTCCTAGCCACAGAATAAATAAACATGTTTTCGTAACATGAAAATGCTGCAGGCTTTGTTTATATATTTAATATTTAGTTGTAAAAATTATGTTCTTGACATTGTTAACAATTCTTTACATCATTCAAAAGGTAACTCTAGAAGCTCTTCTAAAATTCTATCTTTCTGCTCAAACAATTAAAAAAAAAAAAAAAAAAACTGAAAGGCCTCAGATTTTAGCAGTCACTTAAAAGGGCTCAAAGTTTATGAGTGCATAGATTACCAATACAGATAGGGCAGTGGAAATAGCAAAACATTTTATAAAATACTGATTCCAGAAAGTTATATATCTTCTATATATTTGAAAAGAAATATATCATGTAATTGTATAAAAATATTAAATGTTTTCAATTAGATATATCATGAATTAAATGCATTTTAAATCAAATCGGATTAAAAAGTAAAAAAATACATTGTTAAGAACTGTGTGTATTGCTTTTAAATAGCTTGGCTTATTAATCGATAAGAGATTAGATTTTAAAGGTAAATATGTTAAATTTTGCCAAATGGCAAGACTTGAATGAAAAGCGAAACAAGTTTACGTTTGACGATATGAAGTTACGTTTCAAGACTAATAGCCCTTTTAGATTTAAAAAAAAAAAAAAAAGTTTGAAAATAATTTGCACTGGTTCATTGGTATTAGTTTATGCAAAATTCAATAAAATGAAATTTACCAGTTGAAATCAGCACCAAATTAAGCTTTGCAAATTCTAGCACATGTTAAAGGTTATCTCATCCAAAATTTCATTACTAACCATTCATTTCAGAGCAAAATAACACAGTAACTGACATTTATATGACAATCAATATCAAAAATTTAAATCTGCATTTTA